CATTTTGTCTTAACAGCTTGACGATGGTAGATTTGGGGAAGGTGAAGAGCTCCAGGAATCAAAAGCTCGGTGGGAGAGATGCGAAGGATGGATGCTTTTATTCTGTTAGTATTGGGAAGGTTGGTGATTAGATCAAAGTAGTTATACATACTATTCTTTTCTTTGAGCAAGCGGTCATAAGTCTCTAACTCAGTGCCCCTTATGTTCTGATAAGTGTGCCAAAGTCTGGTTACTGACCCCCAAAAAGGGCCATCAAAGTCCTTGAGGGGATGGAAAAATCGATAGTAGATGATTTGATAAATAAATGGTACAATAAGAGCAGCGGCAAGGCCACCAGCTAAGTTGGGACCGGTCAAGTATGGTCCAAATCTAGAGACTGGTGAGTCGATTCCGACCACTTGTGTAGTTCCGCTCAAAGCATCCATTTTGGCTGCTTCCGGAAATACAGTAATAAATTAAGTGAAGTAAAGCAGTTGAGGAAAACACAACTGGATGGAGATGATAGAATTGGAATTCCTAAGACCTGAATATATCTATATATGCTCTCAGTCTGGACCCTCATCAATATGAACTCGGCTCTTTTCCGCACCTTGCTGACTACGTAGTTCATCTCTTCTTCCCCTCTTGCCAACCTCATGCTAGCCGAAGCAAGATCTCCGGCCTCACCACACCCCACTAATATCTGACATCTCACTTAAGCACCCACAATTATTGAACAAATGAAGAGTAATTAGAAATAAGCAAAAGGTAGAATATAGCAAATTTAACTAAAAGGGTTTACGGAATCACAGATCTCACTCACGTTGCTGAGCTTTTCGTATCTTCAGCGAAGGATTTAGGAGCAGATCATGCAAAAGAATCCCGTGCACACGGCTCCTTTGGAAGCCGGGGGTGGGATTCTGTACCGTACATCTCCGGATCAATGATTCATCAACTTCTGGAATCGTTCTGTGACCGATACCAATGGTGAAGTGCAAAGATTCACACGGATGGACTTTGCGGTAATGATTGAGATTATTTGTACCTGAAATTTGGCAGTACTTAAGTGTTGTATTGCCATAGAAAGGGACATGGCACTGTTTATGTTCATTACTTCAATACAATATGGGGCTCTACTGCTCCATACGGCCCTACGAGGCTTAGTTCAAAAATAAAAACTGTACTGTAGACCAATGAAAAATCGTGTGCATACAATTCTTTAGCTTTAAAAGAACTGTCAACTCTACATGTCCACTACCTGCACTTGCCACGAGGAAACGTGTGTTTCATAGCTGCACTGGGTGAATGGTGCTCAAATTAGCATCCGAGTCAACCCAGAAATTGCAGTAAACATGTGCGTATGTCTCTGAATAGCAATGATCATCTCCTAGTGCCAAACTTCAAAATGCCATGGGAGGATTGAATGACGATAAGTTTCATGCAATTGACTCATCCTCAAGTAACAACGCCATCGTGATCATTCTCATGGTTATTCAATCTGATACTTCATAGTATTAACGATATCCGCGGCAACACCATTTTACATCTATCCAGCACTGTCGAGCAACGCAGCGAAGGCTAGAATTCGGTGGCGAGATCCTTCGTATTTTAGTTCCTCTAGTCCATCATTATTATGTAGTTGGCCTCAAGATGTGATCTGGAGGAGAGAAAACTTCCTCACCGGCGATAAGTTTGTCTCTGATATCCTATTCCTGACGATCCATTGGACCCTGAGATCTTGTCGCCATATCTACAGCATCTGTCTCGCGCAAACGCGAATTGCCCGACGAAGGTTTTCACGTAACTTTAGCTGCACTTTCCAAGAGTTTGCTTGTGTACATTTTCACTTGAGATGCGGTGAGCTAGGAGTTTGGTATAGAGATCGTATGTTCTCGTCTCAGAATCAATTATGCCTTGCCAAAAGCTTGCGCGATTGAGTGTTCTCCGCGGTGTTCATTGTCTTGCTTCTTTAGATAACTTGCATTCGATATCTCCACGGCCACAATAGTAATAACGTGCAAACTCTTTGCACATGATATTACGGCGCTAGCCCAAAGTTTCGAGCTCCGCTTGCTTATGCACCTGTGTGATCGCTAAGCTGACTACACACTCTCGCTCAACACGATGTTCTCAGTATAAGCCGCCAAATGATACCATCTCATAGTAAGCCCATACCGGAGTTGTTTTTCATGGCTTTATTCAGCCAAATTGTAGTTCGTAGCTGCGCTGTCTTGATAGGCTCGCTTCTTTCCATAAGGCTACAGGCCCCCAAGGTTCCCATATCCCAATTTGGATTCCCAAAGGCCAACAAAAGTGGACACGCTAAGCTATACGCCGTAGTTGCGGAAGCCACCATCTGCCATGCGATCTTTGGGGATTTCAGGAGAATAAAATTATGGGGACTGTTGAAGCGAGTGAGCCAGCCGTTTTGGGTAGTATCGGAGTAGGAACGTTTTGATACTACATCGCCAAACATGGAACATCGTAACACTCAGCAAGGAGATGTCAGAATAATGCACCATTCTCCGTAAGATGAAATGATACTGTGATTGAATTCACATCATGACTCCTGCTAGCCAAATTAGGAATTCTGGTATGGAGATTGACATGTTTGTGGCAACTCAACGATGGCGAACTGGGAGGAGAGCCTTATGATACCGTCGAGGAGAGGAGTTGAGAAATCTACAAATACCCCCTCAGTCTCCTTCAAAGTAACATCATTCAAACATCAAACAATCATCCTCACAATCATCCATTCAATCATCCATCCATCCAATCATTACTACCTCATAGGTTATAAGAATTCAATCATTGATATCTCCTCAAACACAAAAACTTCCTCTTCAAACAAGATCTTCAGGTGTTTCATCCTATCCATCGTATCAATCTTTTCAAGATGTCGAACTTCGATATGATCATAGCGAATACTCAACTTTCCATCCTTTATCTCTTCCCTGTCGCAGTCTTTGGGCTCATCCTCAATCTCTACCGCAAAGCTATCCTTGGAAGATCAAACCAGAAAAAGGCTCAAGCTGGAGATGCATATGCAGCCCTCGAGCAAACCGTTACCTATGCGCCTCATGCCGCCCAGGACTCTCTTCAAGACTTGATCGAGAACGATGGAGCTGGCACATGGCCTCCTACAACTGTGTATGGCAATGCCTGGCCAGTACCCCTTCAACCATTCCACGACATCTATCAAGCCATGGCACCTGCTCTTTCAGTCGCAGAACTCAGCGGCGACGATGTCAAGAACTTTCAACGATGCTTGGACTTCCGTGTACAGATGAGAACACTTTACAATGATCAAGTCAACATGGGAGAAGTGAAAGCCCTCCTAGACGCAGCAGAGCATGATGAGAATGTTCTATCCCGTGCGGCTTGGAACGGTCTATTCGCTTGCATTGCATTGTCCCGACATTCCTTCCGGTAAGTACCCCTTATTCTCAGTCGCACAACAATGAACACTCGATAACATAACATAGATGGGGAACAATCCCCATTGTCAAACTTGCCCAAGCAGAGCGAGTTGTTGATTTCCCTGGCTGCCTCGACCTTGCATGGCCATACCTCCAGAGACGTTATGGAGTTACATCTCCAGGTGGCAACGTCGCAAGTAACTATCTCTGCAACTTCGACGAAAACCATCAGATTGTTTACCCTATCAACCCTGGCATGGACGATCTCATCCAATCTGCCGAGTACCACTTTGGTCATGTCTTCCCCCACATCGAAAGAGAAGCTCTTCCCATTTATCACTTGGTTACTAAAGCTATCCAACAACATTCTAACGGTGACCTTGCTGGTACTCTGCAATCGCTCAAAGGAATCAACAAGGATTTGCGCATACCTTTGAAGACATATTACGAAACCATGCATGAATCTAAGATCTCGCGAAAAGTTTGGATGCACTACGCACAAGGATTCCAAGGATGGGCCGCTGGTGACATCGACGAAGTCACTGGAGAGTATACCGAATATGACGGTCTTTCTGGCAACCAGCTATTACTCCCGCAGATCATGGATGCTTTCTTGGGACTTGATAGATACTTGAATGAGGAGAACACACAACGCTACATGCCAAACTTACAACGCAAATTCCGCGAAACCATTGCTGAGCATAGCTTCCGCATTGAGGCCAAGAAAAACGGAGAGGATGACATTGAGCACGAAATGAACAACATTGTCAAGCAGATGAGAATATTCCGAACAGCTCACCGAGTCAGAGTTAAGCCATACTTGAGCGTACCAGCCCCTGAGCGCATGATCATGACAGCTGGAAAGTCTGTTCTGGAGAAGGGTGACGTTCAAGACTACCAGTCTGCCATTGCACCTCTGGATAAAATGTTGAGCGACAGACTGTTGGCAACGAAGTAGACTAGACTGCAGTATGCTTTCTATCGGATCATGCAAGGACATTACTCCCCAGAGCGGGCAGGGTTACTCGAGCTCCAAAAATCTTTCCACTTTAATACTTTTCTTTCTTTTGTCTTCGGGGTTGGCTGCACGCACGGCGCACATTTGTTTTTTGATCTTCTGGGTACATAGTAGATTAGGGATATAGATAAAAATCAATGATATGACTGAATACACTTGGCGGTCCTCGGTGATGTTGTTATCGAGGTGACATTCTCTCAAACAATCCATACAAGAAATATCCTCAAAGCAAGTAAGGTTGAAAATAACTACCCCCACTTCCACGTGGCGCATGCAGTGCAACCCCAGTTGGGTACTGTACCTTCACAGCTTATGTAATCCATATAATCCATGTTTTCACAATTCCATTCTCCTCGGTAGGATTCTTAGATTCAACACATACACCCACAAAACAAGCCACGTGAATTCCTATCATTCATATATACTCCAAGATACGCCATCCTTGGTCACCTCTTAGCATGAGATCAGCGCTTACAGCTACAGAATTGGAGATTTCCAGACCTCCGGCACTGTATACGACCTAACGAAATATAAGGTTTCGGAACTTCCAAGATCTTAGAACATCTTCAAATTGTTCTCAAATGAGACGTCATTGGACATCTATACAACAATCTTGCATCATCCTCTGGTGGTACAGCAGCGCCGACTATAGTCATCATCGAGCTGTTTATCCTCCTCTGATTTCTGCTGACAAGTGAACTTATACTGATGCGCCTCCCAAGACTTCAAGCTGATTAGTACGCATCTTGATCTTCGAAGAGGTTTTTATGAATTCTGACATGTATTACTAACTCTGTACTATCGAGCTTCTTGGTCGTACGACCCGGTGAGGTGGTTCTAAGATGTGTTTGCTGATGAAGAAGTAGTTCATTGGTACCTTGGCTCACTATTTTAGTACGAGATTCTTGTACGACGTACGGTGTTGCTTCCAATAATGTTGTGGAAGATAAGACTACATATACGAATGTTGTCTCAGACGATATGTTCTAAAACATTTGATTTAAACGCGATAATAGAAGTGTTTTTCTCTGAAAGTTAGGGAAAGACTGGGTCTCACTCGAGTATTTTGATATCATATATTTTTGAGTTCAAAATTCACCTTTCATCCATATTGATTCCATGTATATTTTCCCTTTCTTTTTGTTGCACGTCTACAAATCTAAATGAATTCATCTTGGTCTCAAAATGAAGTTTGGATCTCATGAATATGACAAGCAGGATGGTCTTCCTGATTATTGATCTTGGGATTCGAGTACTTATCATTTATATCACTTCATATTCTCGTTTTAACCAATGAATCCATCTCATTGTTCGTCTACAACAAGACCCTGCTTATCGAATATTTCCTATTGAATATCCAGCGATAAGAGTCTCTGTCTTTTACAACTTAATCTTATTCACTGGGTATTTTTGGATGAGTTTTCGATAGTGGTCTACCTTCTCTATGCCACTGGATCATTCACCCACAATTGTCGCTTAACTCTCTGCGAAACTATCTCTCATCTCAATGATGCTCATATCTTCCGTCTGTATCACTCGCCACGTATGCAAGTTGCTACTGGTAAAGACAACAAGAAACAAGGTCAATGTATGGGAAAGGAAGAACAATCACAATACCACAACATTATTTTCGCGGGCACATCAATCAAGTCAAAGAAAGTCAAGAAGCAAGATTTCATTCTTTACCGTCCAACTTCCGCTTTAAGACTCAGATTCTCCATTTCCAACAGCGCGTAGATGACCAGACAAGTTCTCGGGCATGCTTGTAAAATGAAAAGCGAAACGATATTGCTTCTACCACCACCACCATCTTCCACCAAGGACTGTTCCTTCAATCGGTCGATGATTCTCATGGACGTAATTGCTTGTCGTTACCAAGCATTAGCCACTATCGAGGCGAGTTAGCTAAGCATACTAGCATGAGATACAAGTCATGGACTTACTAGAGAAGATAGGAATCTAGTTTGCTGGATAGACGATAGCACTATCGGCATCTTTGGCAGCACGCTTTTCAGCTGGGTACACAATTGCCGTATCAGCATCCTTAGCGCGCCTTTCAGCGGGATACACAATGGCAGTATCAGCGTCTTTTGCACGTTTCTCGGCCGGGTACACAATCGCTGTATCAGCATCTATTGCTCGCTTCTCGGCTGGATACACAATAGCCGTATCAGCATCAACAGCACGTCTAGCATCTACTGGATAGACAATTGCCGTATCAGCGTCTTTGTCAGGATGAGCAATTGGAGATGATGTGGCCAAGACGGCGAGGAATGGGAGGAGAATCGTTGAGTAATGCATTTTGAGTGATGTTGGTGGATTGATTTGGGAGGGAGTTGTGGTAATTGGGCTAAAAGCTTGTTGGAAGTGAAGTGGAGTAGATGAGATGAAGTTGTTGATAGAGAGATGGATGAAGGGGTATTCCATCTTCTTTATAGATTCGCCCTTCAAGCTGGTAGGAGATGGATACCGGTGCTTTCACGGATGCTGTCAATCTTCCGCAACATCAGCTGGCCGAGCATATCGACAAGGTTAGTTTCATTGAAAACATTGTGCCGATATAGACTTCTCTCAGCCGTCGATACAAAGTTGAGGCGCACGACCTGATGCACTTTCTACATATTCACCGTTTACTTTCACGCCGAAGAGCGATAACAATATGGAGTAGGTTTTGTGAAGGCTTTAGATTTCCGAACCAGGTCAAACGCCAAGTCTTACATCACTATACCTCCTTTGTATATAGATGTTATTGGTGTGCGATGAGTTACCGGCCAAATACTTCGCTAGAAAGCTGTGCGCGTTTCTTGAGATGCAAGTTGGCGGAGATGACAACTGATTGAGTTTATGGCTTCATGGGCTTCATTACTGAACGCAAAATATACGACGACGGCTTGGGATGGTACGCCATCACTTGCGAGTTATTGTTGTGTTCTGCACCACGGGTCTCGAGTTGAGATGAAACCTGTTGAGATTCCAGTTCCTAGGCCTCCATTTGTCGAATCCATCTTCTAGTCGCTGGCAAATGATGCCCTTGGCACATATCTTCCCCCTCTTCTTGATAGCCCATAACTTTATTGGGGAAATGTGAGAAAGCACGCCATGAAACCAAGGCAACCGTCTAACCAACTTCGTGGGTCTCTTTCTGTCGGGCAGAACAAAGTCCAGCCAATCCAACAATCCACAGAGGCTCAAGAGCTTTCTGCCAATGTGAGAGCAGAGATCATCAGTATACTTTCTCAAGGCACCAGCTTACCACCAAATCCAATTGGGGTTTCTTGTGGTAGAGAATGCTGTCTTCAGTAAGTATAAACGAGAAAAGCTACCATGTAGGAGCATTTACAAAGTTGTCTCTGTACACCTTGCATGAATGCGACTCTGATTATTCAAAGTGCTACATATCAACATCCCCGCACTTTTACTGAACGTGATTGATGGAGAGGATAAATGTTCCTGCATATATGTCCTAAACTGGGCAACTCTCAGTACCGAAGTCCTTTGCTCAGCTACTACTACTTTCGACGACGTTCCACTAACAAAACGCTCCCAGACATGACCGTTCTGCCGCAAATTCCTTTACAAAGATAGACTGGTACGCCACTCTCACCTATACATCCACGAGATGTAGAATCATCCCCCCTATAGCGCAACTCTCCTCGCGTCTTCGTGTATCCAATCAACGTAATCCAATGAGTCCCAATTGATGCGAATCAATATCTTGGATCCCAACCATATCTTTTAGCCGGCGCTTGTTTGTTGCTTCGTGGCCATCAATGTAGGGTGGTAATAGAGCTATGTAACACGCCTGAATACAGCGGTGAATGAGAGATAATATAACACAGAACAGAGTGGTAAGCACTAGATCTGCCATGCGACGAGACCGAGGTCGGAAGTCGTGTTTGTGTAGAATACCAGGCCAGAACGATGCAAAAATGCAGTATCAAATGTATGATGCCCACATGAATTGAGACTGCGTTGGAATGTTGCGCCGCTTGGGGCTTGAGATACACTATAGAACATCATTGGACACCAATATTTGCGGTGAAACTAGAAGGGGTTCTAGATTCAATGGTGATTCTTTCGATATCCAATTAAGGTTGGGACGTTAAAATGAACCATCTTCAGATATCTTGCCAAGAAATTCGTCGCCTCGTCAAGACCTTGGCATTTGTATACTTCTAGGCTCACACATCCATTGAGAGCTCGTGTGACCGTTCTCGAAGAAAAGGAAAAGTTGGTAGAGTCTCCCAATGGTATTCGTAAATACTGACATTATCCGGACCGTCGCGAATGTCACATGATGGCCCAAAGCCAATCATCACCGGCTGTAACCAATTGGTGTTACACAGCATCATCCGCTTACCTACTTTTTCTCCAGAGGCTTCTCAGTAGTAGCTGATCTCATGTCTACCGATAGCGTGCAGACATAGTGGTATGATCGTGACTTTGATGGCTTAGTGTCATTTTGAGCTTCGTCAATCCTTGGTGGTTGAGAAAACGATTCGAAAGTGGCGTACTTTACCATTTCGCTGAGCCGACGTATTGCATCGCCATCTAGCAGTCTGATTATGACAAGTTGTCGTGAAAGCTCTAGGGTGAAGTGAATGCCCCTTTTCTCGATCGTTCCTTTCTCTGTTCTTTCAAACACTTAAGATTATAATTTTTTCCCTTGTCGAAGTTTCGTACCGGCTCAATCATGCCTCTGTTCTCACAGGAATCTTGGGCCGACAAAAGCCTTGAGGGGTACCGATCAGTACAAAACCCGTCAGAAGAGAGGCAATCTGAATCTGACGATGCAGGGTCTTCAGATGCTACCCTCTTAGAGGAAGAGCTTCAAGATACACGACGCAGAGATTCATACTACAGTCGCTCATCTCGAGCCATCCAGATAAATGTTCTGGTTTTCTTGTTTTACATTGCAAGCATCCTTCTCGTTGCCAAACATTTTCGATCGCAGGCTCTCAAGGGACCTAACCTGGTTCATTGTAAGAGAGAGCTCAAATCCAATATTCGAAAAGAAAGATCCATTTCACTGACATCGAGCTAGCTCCTGCTTATAACGCAATAACATGGCAAGAACAAGCTTACACCGAAACCGATACTCATCATGGTCCATTCTCAGGGTATCCTCGACCCGAGATCGATGAAAACTGGCATGAGCTTCTAACTGGTTCGTACCAACATACTTTGAGAACTCGAGTTAGTACTAGACGTGAAGACTAATTTACTCTCCGCAGCTTATAATATCGAGCTAGAACCCGAAATAATGCAACGCTTCGGTCGCGAAGACACGGGCGTAAAGGTTCCGGGCAGCAACAAATATATTGGAACTCTCAACGTTTTCCATGAACTCCACTGCATTGTAAGCCATAGCACAACCTTCCAATGCTGTAAGAACTGACAAAACTCCAGAAACGTCTGTACTCTTATAGCTACCCTGAAGTATACTGGGCAGATCTCAGCGAGAAACAACGAGATGTGAATCGTATACATAATGGTAATGTCTACCTCTAGATTCCCACTAAGAGCGTTTCACTAACAGGAATACCATAGAGCACTGTCTTGATTTTCTTCGCCAAGCAGCCATGTGTCACGGAGACATTGGAATCGTGACATATGAGTGGTCTGAAGATAGCCTGATGCCAGTGACGAATCAGACTACACATCAATGTATTGATTGGAAACAATTGGATGACTGGAGTAGAGAGAGAAGTGTTGATATGATGAAGCCCGGGTGGCTCATTCACCCAACCAAAGGTATTTTTGAAGTATTCATTCTTGAACATTGAACAATGTTTTGACATAAGTGCAGGGCCAGCTTATCCCGATGGAGAAGGGAGTCGCCTCGGGGTATTCAAGGAAGCTGATGAGGTTTTGAGTCATGGACATTGATGCGGTAATGATTGAATGAATGAGTTGGTGTTTCATGATACCTTGTTAACAGGACTTGGCGATTAAGTGGGCAGGTTATCAGAGAATGGGCGAGAGAGAGCTTGGAAAGTAGGTAGATTTGCTACAATTCAGACTGAACTGAATTAATATATGAGTAGTCAACAGAACTATGATATGTTCCTTCCTATCCTATACCCAACAAAAATATTCATTGGGTGAAGATGTCATCCCACAAAATGAAAGTATGGTGAATGATGAGATAGGCAACAGAACTCAGTAGTCAGGTCATTCTTATATGAGCAAAACCTGGTGAATCATGAGATAGATATGCAACAGAACTCAGCAGTCAAGTTATTCTCACATGAGCCAGACTTGGTGAATAATGAGATATGCAATAAACTTCACACATTGTGTTCTGTAAGCCAAGAACATTCAATTGCAACCAAAACTGCAATTAACAACCCAGAAACCTCACATGAACCACCTCTGTGATCTCTACATTCAGCGGCTCCAACGCCAGTCCATCCATCATACTCCTCTGATCCGCCCCTACACCCTTTTTCAATACCATACCATCTACCAATCGCAACACCGCACATCCCTTCCTTCTCAACCTCAACCTCAACACTCTTCAACTTTTCAAAACGTGACATCAAAATACGAGGATGCTTCGTGTATGCGAGCCCAAGATATACCATCAAATTAATGTCATACATACATACACCGTTTAGAGATTACCCGAAACGCGTGCGTAGATTCATCAAGGGCCAAACCGTCACCGGAGGCATATGATTTCGCCGATTCAGAAGTAGTTAAGAGATTGAGCTAATTTGATGAAATTGCTTGAATAGAGTATAGAGTTTGGAGCTTATTGGATTTTTGGGTTCCTTTCTTCTGAAACTGTTGCTTGTGAGGTACGGTACCTTCTGAGGCCACTGCTAAACTGGATTGCCGCGCTCAGCTGGGCGCTGTACTTGTGAAAAACCTTGAAATGTGGATTTTAAGTGGTGGAGCCGGCATTTTTGTGAAGAAAGAAAGAAATTAGAAGGATGAATGTGAAAGGGGGCAATGACAGAATAAGGCTCCCTTTACAACTTTTATCCTCATGAGATGAGACCCGTTGAAAAGGGGTCGGTATCATGTGAGATATGACTCCATGCGAGTGTATAATGGACCACTCGACCCCCAACTCCATGTTGGCGAAGTCGAGTCATATTGACATGAATGTGATGAGATGAGTTCCAATATGCAGAACATGTCGATCGTTCATTCTTGGTGAAACTTGGCGACCTGGCACTGGCGAGAATATCATCATTGCGGAAGTTAGTCATTCGATTTGATGATAATGAAAACAACTCTTTGCTTGGAATAAAATTTGCTGGTCCAAAAATGGTGCAATATTTTCACTTCAAGCTGGCCTTTGCAATTGAGTTAGGAATTGGGGAAAAAGAGACAATAATCATCATAACTTGTGAACTGATGATGCTCTGTGGCACTAAGTGCATTGTAATTTCTACGTCGTGTATATACTTATACAGACAGGTGTTGATACATCCTGATCATACAAGACCTTCATGTCTATAACAGTGGCTGTCTCTCCCTAGAATGCTCTTCCCTAGAATGCTCTTCCGGCATGAAACCCTCGTCCAGAATCTCCGAGTCTGCAGCTGCCTCCGCCTCCGCTCCCACAACTACCTCCGCCTCCCTCGCCATAGCTAAATCATATTTCCTGATATGCTCCATAATTTCTTCCTTTGTGATTCCATAACCATTCTCATCCACATAAGCCTCCTTCTTCGGCGGCAAACCCAACTTCTCCCTCTGAACCCTATATTTCTCCTTCACCGTGTCCGTCTGCATAATCCTCCATCTCAGTTTCCAGCCTCCCATTCCTAGCTCCTTCAACCTTTGCGTCTTCTCCCCTAACAGATATTCATCCAGGCCTCCCGCTTTATCAATTGTCCTCATCACCCTTGTCGTGATTCTCATTTTGATTTGCCTTCCCAAGCTCGCGCTATAAATACGCTTTCTCTGCACGTTCGGACGCCAATGTCTTCTCGTCTTAATTTCATTTTTCTCCGAAACTATGTTTCCATAGCGAATCTTCTGGAGACCGTAGAGACCAAAATTGGATTGTTTGTAGATCTGCGAGGGACCGTATGGATATGGAGGGACAGCGGCGTGCTCGAATGCCAATCGTTGTTTGGTGGACTTTGCGAGAATTCGAGCGGTGCAAGTGAAAGCTCGAGTGAAGGAGAGGGAGGGGTGGATTGGTGGGAAAATTGGCATTGTGAATGAGGGGACGCTCGACGTCAAATTTAGTTGTGTGTGGCGTTAATCCAAGTTTGTATTTCGACTGATACTTCTGGTTTATCACTGGGGCTATCAGTTCATCGATTATTGAATTCGCGGTAGAAATGTTTCTTTTGGCTGACCTCAAAATGGCTTCGTCGTTATCGCCATAATTTTTAGTTCCGAGGTAAGTAAAAATGCCTGAGGCCGCAATATCAATATCAAATTTATCAACTTTAAACCAACTACCGGTACGCATTATTGTGTTCCTTTATTTCACTTGTATTGATGATGGCAATCTAACTTCAAATTTTGCAATAACTAATTCGCTCTTGTCTATCAAAGATATTCTCTTATGTCCCAAGTGGTGATCAAATAACCCAATCTTCGTTTGCACCTTATATATCATTCAGTTATGCCTATCTAGTAGGTAGGTAGCAGTCAAAAGCTTATATTTGCCAACATCCCATTTATCTTTTCTATTACATCTTTTCTATTACATTGATCAAGGAAGTCCCTCATTTTATTGTTGTGCTATTCAAAATCCACCTCCGAAAAGAAGTCTCCAAAGATTACGACAACTTTCCTTTTAACTTCTTCCAGAGGGACAGACTCTAGCTATACAAGCCAAAGTCTTGGTTCAAGATCGAATCCCAAGATGTTACGTACGGGATTGACTGCTTCTCCACAGATAGCAAACTTCGCTTGTACCATTGGGGGATTCCATTCAGGGTTCTCGCTGTGCTTATACTCCTCCAAATTCTCACGTGTCCACTCAACCACACGCTCATACAACTTCTCCCGTACCCTAGCAATATCTCTTTGCAGTGAATTTGCCAGCCCTTGCCCGTGATTCATCACGTCACTCTCCCCATATAATGATTCTTGTAAACCGTATCTGGCATCGTAATCGAGGACATAGGTGAAAGTTTTGAGTGATGGTAAAACTCGCGCTATCATACTCCCCATCGAGTTTAGAAGATTCTTGTCTTGTAGCACCTCGGAGGTGGTGTTTCCTTCTTTGAAACCACTGATCGCAATATTACGGACGTCTTTCATAATGCTACCTTCCACGCCATCTCTGATTTGCGTCAAAACGTTTTTGATCCAAGAAAGCCAGCCTACTTCCACGATAACTATATCTATCCTCGGATCAAAGATCACAGTTCCTAATCTTGGATAACGGGCCAAGTTTTTCTTGTGGAACTTGAGATATGTTCTCCTGGAATCGCAATTTACGAAATACAAAACATGCGGTTTGAATCTTCTGCGATGTCCGTATCGCAACTGTTTGATCGGAACGATATGTCCTTCTTGTGCTTCTAGTGCCAGATGCCATACACAAAGTTTTAACTCGATAGGTAGAAGGGCGAATTGTGGGAAGCTCGACATAGTGCGCTTGGTCGAGGGAGTTTCTTGGTAGCGAGTGAAAAATTGTTCCACGCCGGTCTAGAACAGATGCAGAGCTATTTTCTGGGGGCAGAAACTATCAAGGTAGTATCAGTCTCGCGATCTTTGGACAAAGTTGGAAGGCTTCAGCCGTTGCAAGTGACGGTCGAGGTCAGCAAACAGACAAGGGTTAGCTGTAGTCAGCAGCAGCCTGCTGACTTTTCATCTCAATTCTTCAGTACTCTTAAATACTCGAGTACATTGTCACACACTTATCTTGAAATAAGTCTTCCAAGCATGAACGCAGTATATTGTCCATCTTAGATTTTGCCATCGAACTCCGTCTTAAAACATCGAGATTTATTCTGCCTTGGTTAATTGCTAAGAAATCGCATGAGAAGCTGTGTATTGTGATTGTCCAACTCGCCGTAGTTCATTTACCCTCCATAGCCCACGTCAATTCAGAATATTAAGACATATTCTTTCCACCCTTCACCATTTCTTCAATACCTATATTCAACGGCAGAACGACACCATCCTTATTTCAAAGAATATCAGTGATGGGAGGTGACCCAGGCCTCAACGCCGGCTCCAGATAATACAAGCACCAGATAAGATATTTTCGGAAAACCCAGGAAGCTCGGAATTATTCTGCTTTGCCACCACAGCGACCGGCTCGTTTATTCATCACGTATTACCTCCATCTTTAGTCACACGTATGGCAAATGACAAGGGACTTGAGCTACAACTAAATCACAACTCCAGATACACAGTCCATGAATCTTTAGTCGTTGCGGGCTTTGAGCACAATCATCGAGGGCGAAGGACAGGTTTAGGTCGACTGAGATTTGAGTTTGCTGATGTTGAAACCATGCACTGTGCGGCAAAAGCAGTTGCCAAAGCTCGAAGCGGGCAATCTTGTGAGATCGTGGCGGTTTAAATGGGAGCGAGAGATGGGAAGCCAGCCAGAACAATGTTTCGTCACGTTTCAGAAGAATGCTCAGTATTGCTTCAAGGACGCGTGTAAGGTCACCAACCTGAAAAGAGACAGCTATGTCGAATCCCCATTGTCGATATCGCAGTTCTTCTTGGAGGGTATGTAAATTGACTCGAGGAAAGGTGTTGTAGGGTGGTCCATGAATCAGTGGGAGATATTGTCCCTTGGGCAGATGGGGTCTATTTTGGTGCAGTGATTGATCGATCTGATTGATGGTTAGTTTAAGAATGGTGCAAGACTGCAATGCAAGTTTAATTCAGTATTATTATCAAATAGATTGTAAAGGAAGGATATTCGCAGAGATCCTTGAAGCGAGCAATGTATAGGAGATATTCATGTCAAAAACACGGCTCTTCGTCTTGATTCAAGTCTTGCCCATTCTTCATCGGTGAAATAGCAATTATCCTTGCCAGTCACTCTTTCTGATACTCCTCTATGATCCGTATGAATTCTCATTACGCGAAGAGAATTGGGTTGTCTTGGCTTCTTGTGCAACGGGTCATGACTATGTCGAACAGAAAAGTACGAGCTCCAAATTTTCAGATGCAGAAGACTTGGTGTGGAGAATAACATACGTAGCACTGGCACTTGGTCGAGCGAGTAGACGAAATGAATAGGGGGTAGATCCTGCTCGATTCAGGTGCATGGGTTCAACAGCTGTATCCCAGGGTGCTTGGGAATACTCTCTTTTTTGGTAGAAGCATCCATACCGAGCCATTTGAGGTCGCAAGTACCATCCTTAAATACAGCAACCACAGCGGCATCAGACACTGAAGCTTCGCTTGTTCCGTGTTTGTCAAGTCAGCAGGTAAAGACGACATTACTTGCATCTCCAGTCCTCCAGCCAGGGTTATCAATATCCTCTATCAGATAAATAGGAACTTTACACTCGCTGGTTCGGGTCTGCTCTTTACCGATGAGCTGAATACCACAACGTCTCTGCATACAAATTATCTGGCACAAATCTATGGTAAGTAAAGGTTATCTGAAGGATGCATAAGAGAAGAGCCGCAACTGCTTCTTCGACGCATTATCCTCTTGATAATCAAGCAACAGGGAGCAGTGATCGCCGCGCTCCACGTCTCTCAGAAAACATCTACTAAAGGAGCGTGTTTTTTTGTCTTCAATATGCCGATATGATATGTCGGCAATGTACTGTTCATGACCATTATTATTGAAGTGTTCCCGTACTTGACACTACGGACATAAGTCGGATGACAAAACAGCATCTGAGTATTGATAATGAGCACAATTCGAGCATAGACAACTTTTTCCGGTGAGCTGCTGGATACCTTGCCAGGTGTGACTGAAAATGGCCAATGATACTAGGTGATGAGCAGCCTTGTAGCATACCCTCGAGCAGATAGCTCAAGCAATCTAACCTGGGCAAGTAATCCAGTCATCAATGCCGTTATTTATTCAAAACTTATCTCGAATTCACCACGAATATGAAGTACAATGGTTTCTTTAAAGGCAGACATAATATCAGGTCCAAATTTTGACGGTGAGTTGCAACACTTTTCTGGTGGTCGAGTTGATGTTTGAGATCGGCAGAAGCTCGGTAAAACCACCATCGTCATCTGTACCTGAGAGGTGAGAGAGTGCAACACGAAAACAAAGCTACATGCGCCAATGGTTGAAACAACTCGCACCTTGGATGGATATGTGGTATTAAGTTGTACTGAGAATCAATGAGTGAAGCTTCAGCTACAACCTTTATCTCACTCAAAGCTGGCATTTCGACGCTATGCTTTCCGCCTTCACAGCTCGACCTATCGTGGAGCTCCGTCAACGAGACAAATCGAAGATCGAGTCTATACTTGCATTTGGTAGGTTTGCAGTTTGAGCAAGGAACCTAAACTAACATTACACAGGCGATCGGTTATTAGTAGGTCTGAATACGGGTAGTTTACGCATATATCAAGTCAACGAGACGCCAGGCGATGTCGGTTTACTTCGAGAGGTCGAGAAGTTCTCTACCCGTGCAATAGAGCAACTAGCGCGAATAAAAGAGGCCAACGTCTTGATATCTCTATCGAATTACTATGTCTCGATACACGACCTACAGACGTACACTCTGCAGGAGCAATTGGCGAGAACTAAGAATGCTTCCACTTTCGCCGTTACATCAAACATCGTGAAGGATCCAGGTACGGGGATACCAGAGATTATATCTAGGCTTGCGGTAGCGGTCAAACGAAGGTTGTTGCTATGGTCATGGCATCAATCCGAGCTATCGTCCGAGACAACAGAGATTACGCTTGCAGAATCTATTCGAACTTTGACGTGGGCATCTGCTACCAAGATAATCTGCGGCATGAACTCTGGTTATGTCATTGTTGATGTCATTGCACAGGAAGTTGAAGATATTGTTGGGCCAGGAGCTATTGGAGGTACGGCCAGCAACCAAGGCGGTAGATTTGGCGGCATGGGCTCTGCGAGCATGGGTTACATGGGCCTTGGAGGATATATACCCAAACCACTGGCAACGAAGCTTGCGGATGGAGAAATGCTTCTTGCAAAGGATATAAATTCTCTTTTCATAACGTCGGAAGGGAAGCCAATGGAAAAGAGACAAATTCCCTGGCAGCCAGCGCCTGACGCTATTGGATATTCATATCCATATATCATTACTCTCCAAGCACCGTCTAAAGGAATCCTCGAGGTCAGGAATCCAGATACGCTATCTCTTTTGCAATCGATATCGTTACCGAATGCAAATCAATTACATTTTCCCCCTCCGAACATCAGTCTGGCACACGCTGGTAAGGGCTTCCATGTTGCTAGTGAGCGATGTATTTGGCGGATGGGCGCGACGGATTATGATTCACAGATTGATGAACTCGTTGCCAAAGGACGCTATGATGAGTCACTTAGTATCCTTAATATGCTCGAAGATGCTTTACTAAATAACAAGACTGAACGCGTACGACAAGTGGAATCTCTCAAAGCAAAACTCTACTTTGATCAACAAATTGAGCTGGCCCAGTCTCTTTTTAATCAGCGCAGGTACCGTGCTGCGATCGACATATTTATCGCTATAGAAGCCCCCCCGGAACGTGTGATTAAGTTATACCCGAAAGCTATAGCCGGTGATCTATCAATCGTTCAAGAGAAGAATGGGGATGTTGACACAGATAATGACGACACTAATGGCAGTACAAACAGTGATTCGGATTCTAAGGAGTCTCCAAAGCCAGCTGCCGTGAAGAATTTAATCAGAAACCATCAGAAATCTAGCTCGGATACATCGTCAATCAAGTCTTTTATGAAAGCTGACAATTTGGATAATGACAACGCGAGTATAAAAGCAGCTCCCGCCGAGGATGGCCCACTCGAGGGCAAAGACCTGATTACAGCAGCTAAGGAGTTAAACGCATTCCTTGTGAATGCACGAACGAGAATGAAGAAGCTCCTCGACTCTGAGACTGGCAAAATCATTCCGAAAGAAAATGGTCACGAGAGAACACCCGAGCCTGCATTCGAGTCTCTCCTGGTTCCTCCCGAGTCCGAAGCTGAGGCCGAGAAAGATCGGGAGCAAAAATTGTTGGAAACAGCGAAATTGGTAGATACTACTCTTTTCCGTTCCTATATGCTATCTATGCCGGGTCTGGCGGGACCACTGTTTCGATTGCCGAATTTTTGTGATCCAGATGTGGTTAATGAGAAGTTGTTAGAGACTGGAAGATACAATGATCTTGTCGACTTCTTCCATGGCAAGAAGCTGCATCGTCCTGCACTGGAGCTTCTCAAGAAGTTTGGTATGGGAGAAGAGGAGAACGAAGAAGCTCCAACATTGCATGGACCTCAAAGAACCATTGGCTATCTTCAACACTTACCTCCTGAAATGATTGATCTGATTCTTGAATTCGCCGAATGGCCTCTACGAGCCGATCCTGATCTTGGCATGGAAATATTTCTAGCTGATACAGAGAATGCGGAGACATTGCCGAGGGAGAGAGTCCTCAATTACCTGCACGATATCGACATCAATCTCGAGATCAAGTATTTAGAACATGTGATCAATGAGCTTAATGATATGACTCCTGATTTCCACAATCGACTTGCTGGCGCATATATGCAAGAACTGAAGCAACGGCAAGACAGAGATTCCGAGGATTGGAAGGACTTGATGGAACGAATGGTATCATTCTTGCGGTCGAGTAAACAATATTCTTGTGGGAAGGCTTTTGGGTTGATAGACAGAGAAGGCAAGCTTTTCTTTTTCCAAAGATTGAACGCAACATCATTAACATCTACCATAGATCCGCATTTTTACGAAGCCCAAGCTATTGTATTAAGTAACATAGGTTCACACAAACAGGCACTTGAGATATATGTGTTCAAAATCAAGGACTTTGAGAAGGCAGAGGAGTGAGTTCCGGCTTAACTTGTTATTGAGATTGCTTATGCTAACGTATTCAGATATTGCAATCGGGTCCATATGAACCAGGAAGCTTCAACTTCATCGCCAATTCCAACCCATCGCTTATCCACATCCGAACCGGATGACCCTCTACCTTCCATATACCACACCCTTCTTTCCCTTTATCTTAAGCCAGTACCTCCATATGAACCGAACTGGCCACCAGCTTTGGAGCTTCTATCAAGACATGGATCACGTCTACCCGCATCCTCAACTCTTGATCTTATTCCGGAGACACTTCCTGTGGCAGAACTCGAATCATATTTCCGTGGTCGTATACGTGCCGCGAATTCGATCGTCAGTGAATCTCGGGTTGTGACAGGGTTGCGAAAGAGTGAAGTTGTGCGTGCGCAAGCAACATTATTGCTAGGAGATGGTTTGCCGAGTGGTCAAGGGGGGAGAAATAGGAGGGTTGTCGTAAGTGATGAGAGGGTATGTGGTGTTTGTCATAAGAGATTGGGAGGTAGTGTTATCGCTGTTTTGCCGGATAGTTCTGTTGTACATTATGGGTGTTTGAGTCGAGCAAATGTGCAACGTCCGCCCTCGTCGCGGGGTTCATGGGGAGGACGATGATATTTAGTTCGTGCGAATGGTGATAATTACATAGCGATGGAGTCCTAGGAGCGATCGGCAATGTAGCATATCGAGCATTATAATCATGAAAGAAATAATTCAATCTTCTTCTTCCACAACCTCCTCGCCATAATTGTCTTCTTCCTTGGCTTCATCAATGACCCCACCATTGACCTTTGATCCATTTGCATGACCAGCCTCTCGTACTTTATCTTCCTCCATTCGCGCAGTCAACTCCTTATTAATCCTTTCTTGCATCTCCTCCGTGGCTTTTCGTAAGGCTCCTAAATATGCCGTTCTATCGCTCACTTTGACTGATGTAGACATGGGCAATTTGTGGACGTGCTCAAACTTTTCATTGTTGGGTGAAGAATATGTTGCCGAAAGTATCTGGTACGAAGTCTCGAGTTCAGCCCCAGAGGTGGTTGTGGTTGTGGTTGTGGTTGTGGTTGTATCTGGTATCGCCATTGCTATCTTCTTCTTTCTTCTGTCCTTGCACGAATTAAAAGTACTTTATCGTGAGGATATTCTTTTAATGATCTTTTTGGATGTCGTTTCTGATACAAATTCTATGGATGGAATTGAATGTTTAAGTTGCTTTTTATTTGGCACCGGAGACTAGGTTTAGAATCCCCCGCGAAACTTCAAACGAAAGGTTTACTAGGGATTGTTACTTATTAGATATCAAATTGGCATAACACCCCCCATCTTTTAGATCCTTTCAATATTCAAATTACAACAACACAATCAACCCGGCCTACCTACATAATACATGATACAAATTCCATGATCAAGTTCTTCTTCAACTCTTCATTCTCCATTCTTCATTATTCATTCTTCATTTTCTTGCTAGAATGTTCAAAGATACAGCGTCACTCGCTACTATCGACGGCCCGCTATTGTACCCTGAAATATACGGAAGACTAACGCAAAATATATAAAAAGTCCCACTTCCAGCAATATAACCATGTCACAGTCGACAGGGCATCCTCTGCCAAGGGCACCAGGGAGCTTCTCTCCAATTGTGCAACAACCGGCTTCATCGACTCAAAGACCACCCCCACTGCGACGAGTTGAGTCCTCATCGTCTGAAGATTTACAACCACCTCCCTCCCTTTCCAGCAAAGTTCGTCCACAGTCCCAGAATGCACCTGCCCCTCCACGACCATTCTACGCCCAATCAACCAAGAGCAACTCAAGCAGTACCAGTCTACAAAACTTCTCGCGACCAACCCTTGCCCAAGTACGAACTGATATCGGTGGTACACCATTGAGGAATGCGTCGCCTCTTACTACTGTAGCTTCAAAATCTTCCATTAGCGATTTCAGAATTCACGGACGCAAGCATTCACAAACGCAAGGTTCTTTCGAAGCTTACTTGCCCACGGCTGCAACGTCCAATTTAGGAAATATGTCAAATCTAAACACGGGACTTTCTGCCAGTCACATAGCTGCTCAAGCTGCTATGCAACATCAATCACAACATGCGCGCCAGCGGTCCCAAACTGTGCCAACTCCGCAATTGGATACCTCATCGAATAGCTCGGGAAGTCGAAGACCTTCCAAAGGTCCTATTTCACCACCGCTGTTGAGCTTGACGGAAGCTTCAGCTCCAAGGGATACTACGTTTGGTGGACAGGCATATCATAATGGATTGCTTGGGGGAGGATCGAGTGCTGCTCAAACAGCTGCAAATATAGTTTTCTCAAAATCCCCTGGATCATCGCCGGCATTGACACCTACGGAATTTGAACAACGAAATCTAGCTCATGCTCAAGCACAAGCAAAAGCGCAAGCTCAAGTTCAATTACAAGTGCAGGCGCAGGCGCAGGTACAGGCACAGGCACAGGCACAGGCACAAGCGGAAAAGCCGGCTAAGACAGAAAAGTCTAAAGTCAAATTGTTTTCAAGGCCTGGAAAGATTGGTATAAGCAAGGATAAAGATGCAAAGTCTGGAGCTCTTCCAAGTCCTAGTATGCTTGCTCCTCTAAATTCAACATACAAAAATATAAAACTAACCACTATGTAGACGCTTCAAGCTCTGCAAGTATGTACAGCATTGCGAATTCTTCTTCGGCGACGATACGACCAATCGATACATCACAACCAGAGAAGGAAAAAGATAAAGAGAAACATAAGCATCACTTTTTATCTCGGCAGAAACACAAGTTGAGTAGCAAAGAAGATCATCATCTACCATTATCATCAGCGGCATCAAATTCCAAACCTGTAGACCCAAGTGCGCCAAGCAGTTTGTATAACTTCAATCTCCCACCAAGTCCAGGCCCTACATCTACGAGTTTTGCGAAAAGCATGAGTGGATTGGACCTGAGGCATGGCGGAAGAGCATTGAGAGAAAAGAAAAAGGAAGAGAAAAGCGAAACTTTGAGGGAAGATCAATTATCATATCAAAATAGTAACGAATGGCCTGGACCATCTAGTCTTGGCTCAGCAGGCGCATCATCATACTTGAGCTCCGCTGGGGTAGGCAACCCTAACTACCCTTCAAGTCTTTCTGGAGTCGATACATCGGATTTGGGAAAATATGGTTTAAACAATATGGGAGCAGATGATGCATGGCCATTCTTGAGAGCAAAATTACTAGTCATATTCGAGGGTGAAGATTTGAGGTTGTGTGTGGAAGATCTTAACCGTCTAGTCACGTAAATCTGCTTCTGCCTTTGCATCCTCTGATGTACTAACAATACTCTAGAACTCATCTTCAACGCTGTATACAAAAGAGGTCTCCAAGTGTTATTGTAGAAGACCTACGAGATCTAATCGAGACAGGCTTCAGATCCCTTGATCAAACTTTACGTCGAACACCTGATGATCGTCTCATACCTCACCTCGTGGAAATGTGGCTCTTTACTTTTACCTCCGTCTTACCCTACATGCAAGCGGTCTTTCTCCCGCTCGATCTCGAATTTTCTGGCCATGGCCCCCTCATGTCACCAGAAGTATCACGCGAAGCCTGGGGTGCTCTCCCTTCATCTCACTCTAGTTCCACTTCCAGTATCCCTACAGGTCATACCCTTGAGGTGCGCAAAATAGTACTCATAGCATACCGTGATACTGTTATCATCCCTCGTTATGAGACGCTAAAAGGGTTATTTTCACGCCTCTCACTTGATTCTATAAGTTTGAGCATTCCAAACTCAGACATCAGATCCATTAGTCCTGACAGTCAAGGAAGACCAGGTACAGCTATCAGTTTAGATCCTAGTCATGGATCATATTCATCTCAGAACACTACACTTCTCGGAGGTGAAAGTTCGGCTGGTGATGGCTCGGGTTTACGCTCACGCGCAATCTCAAACGTGAGTTATGGATCAGAACAATCTGCAGGTGGAAGCGGCGGTCTAGGTATTTCCGGGATGCCACCGCCGCCAAGACCTTTTACGCCAAGTAGTACGCATCCGGCAGTGGGATATGGATTGAGTGAGCGCGAGAGGAGACAAGCAAATGTAGAAGATTACTCGAAGAAATTGACGGAGACGGTGGGTAGAATGTTGCAGTGCATGAGTGTGTTGAGTAGTGTGGGTGTACGAGCTGGTGATGATTCCGCTCAAGAGAAAATGGAAGATTTGGGACGAGGACTCAAGTTGAATTGGTTGGGGAGAGGGAGAACGGGTAGGAATAGGAGGGGTATGGTGGGTGGGAGAGTGGGACAACCACCGAGTGCGAATTCGTTATGATATGATTTATGAGAGGGCTGTTTCGGTGTTTGATTTTTTATGTTTATGTTTGGCGGGTTCATGATGGATGGATGGATGGGTGGATGGGTACAGGTTTCATTGGGATTAGGATTAGGATTAGGAGTAGGTGTCTTGGGTGGTATGGTACGGTATGGTATGGTGTCTTCTGGCATCGGTGGCTTAACTCTGCGCTCTATCCGCATTTTCTTTCTTTTTTTCTTTTTTTCTTTTTTCGGGTTAGGACGATATGATAGATGTGTGAGAGTGAGGAAATACACTCACCCACTCGCAAAGCACTCGCAAAGAAATGGATGAGCTTGTGAAGTTGTAAGATATGGACGATATGAATGGTATGAGGAGGATATGATGTGATACGATGGAATACCTGATGGAAATTATTTGTATGTATATATATTGGCATTATACTACGAGTATACTATACTATACTATACTATAGAAGAATATGAATATAAATAAGAATAAGAAATGGGAATATGGGATGGGAATGAGAATATGAATGAGAATGAGAATGGGAATGAGAAAGAGCAGGAGCAAGAAAAAGAGTAAGAGAGAGAGAGGGAGGAGAGCAGAGTATTGAGTAGAGTAGAGTAGAGTAGATGTTATGTATTCATTCGTGCAATCAAATTTGTATTTACTCGAGTATTGATATTGAAATTTCTACTCGCAGCTAGTTCGAGTATTCGAATAGTTTGTGGGGATTATATTGATACTGATACTGGTATTATTATTATTATTATTATTATAGGTACTTTTATGGGTAACTACTATGGATACTGGATTTGGGGGAGAGGGAGAGAGAAGGGGAGAGGGAGGGGGAGAGGGTGGATATGTATATATATATATGCATATGGTGATGAATGGATTTTACTCGAGTAGAGTGAGTACTAGGTAATCATTTTTGTATGGGGAGGGGTAAGTGGAGTGAGGAGTTTCGAGTAGGGAGGGGTGAGAAGTGAGTGAATGAATGGATGGAGAGTGATGAAGTGATGGATGTAGTGGTGAATGAAGATAGAAGTAAGAAAGGTATTTATGAGGAGTGAGTGAAGGGTGAATAGTGGGAAGTGAATAATGAGGATTGAGTAGTGAGAAGTGAGTGAGGAGTGAGTAGTGGATAGTAAGAAGTGATCTAAATCTAGAGTAATAAGCAAATAATATAATATAGTATAGCATTATACTATTCTAACTTCGTATACTTAGGCTCTAATCTTGAAGATTAATTAACTTGAATAATTCCTTTCTTTATTCTTCACTTCTATTCTTCCAAGTTCTCTTATCTATATATAAGAAAAAGTTCAGATTCATTCTCTCTTTCTTATACTTTTAAAAAAAATAGTTTAATTAGTTTACTTCGTTAAGTATAAGTAATTATAGATTATAGTCAAAGAAAGAATTATAATATACTCGAGAACTAGATTCGAGTTTTCTAATTTCTAAATTAAAGAATAAAAGAGAATAGAGAAATTGTTTATAGATAGATAAATATATAGATATATACTAGTAAGAATAATTCCAAGTAATATATATATATATATATATTGAATCGATATTCAAGTTATACTTGACTATAATAATTTCTATTTCTATTTCTATCAATCCTGATCCCCTTTCAACTTTCCAATTTTCCAATTTACAATTCTCAAAGAAAAAGTACTTTATAGTAGACGAGGCATCTTAATTCTTGCAAGATTCTTGATATACTCATATATTTCCATTTTGTCATTTTGCTTAATCAAGGATAACCTATCTAAATATACAATATACAATTTATAAACCAGACCAGACCAGATATCATCTACACACGAGTATTGTACACTTTTCATTTCCCTCTCTCTCTCCGAAAATATTACTTGCACCCGGGCAGCCGGGCACCCATCGCATCATGGCAATTCTGAAGATGTCATATATGCTAATATTAAAACTTTGGAGCGTTTTGTTGAATTACTTATTCATTCATCACTGAGATGTCTTATCATTGATTCACTACTATACTGCTGTGCTCATTCCGAGTTTGTGTCATCTCATCCCACAAGTCTCACACATCCATCTTATTTAACATCTGCATCTGCACCATTTTATCCCATCTCCTAACCTCAACATCCCATCCATCAACTCAACATCAACTCAATTCAATTCCATTCAATCATCCCGTCCCACTCCACCTTCCTTCTCCTTTCATATACCCACCCCAATCTATCATCCCCATCTTTGACATCACTTCCATTCATATCACTTCCAACCCCCATATTCACCGAAGAATCCCAAAACCCCAAGCCATGGGTATAGCAAAAAATACCAAAAATGCACCACGACCCTGCCCACCGCCCCCTTGCATAGGAAAACCCAACCCACACACGGAAAATGGGATAGTATACAAGGAATATTACCACCACACATATGACAACCCCTTTCCCTTTCCATTTCTCCGTCCCCTTCCCGCCCCAAATTGACCCCCCAACCCATCCCAAAGAATCAAAATTCGCCATTCTCCCTTTGATAAAAAGAAGCAAAACATTTGACGACAAGACGCCAAGTAGTTAGGTAGGAACCATTCTGTACGCCAACGCTTGTAAATATAAACTTTGTGCATTTCCCCGCCGGTGAAAAGAACTGGAAACTAAACAAATAATAATGTGACAATGACTGATAGCTTCAACATGAAGCTGATGATTTAACCAAAAGAACAAAATGTGGTTTAGATGGTTGATATGTGCTGTCGGATGAAAGTAAAATCTCGATTAAGTTTCGCCAATCTTGTTGGCTCCTCTCCTCTCATCTTTAAGCGTTGACTTGAGGTCAGATGATATTAAGGGGGGTAGCTCGTCTAATCTTAGCAAGATGATCAAGCCGCGTTTCCTTTTTGTCTCTTCGTTATGCGTGGACTAGGCTTAACATTGTTTTTGGCTGTCCCATTGACTTGTCCGTCTTCTTCAGTCTTTACTGTACTTGGTCTTCTTCGTTTGTTACTCACATTGGGGCTCGTATTTGCGCTTGCGCCACTCGACGCAGTTCCGTGCTGACTCTGTTGAAGCTGCATTCCTGGAGCTTGAGCCGGGCTTCCTCCCATATGCATATGGGGTGATCCTTCTGGTAACTGCAAGTGCGCAGCTGCGGGAGAGGCACCAATGGGGAAGTTGGGCATTCCTGGTGTTCGTGAACCCGAAGGGTTTTGCTGACCACCGTTGGCCCCATTCGCATTTATTCCCGCGACATATGCATCGAGGGCATTATAAGGCGAAAGTGTGGGATTACTGTGCGAGAATGAAAATAGAAAATTCATCTGACCCAAGACCTCAACCAGCTAGAATTGTTAGAACAATGTCACGCTGAACGGTTGGGGACAAGAAATACCTCAAGATAACGAAACACTGCAGGTGTGATTCCAAAATTACTTTTCAGTTTCGTTTCCGGAAGGTCGAAATCGGGAGGGGCATTTGGTGGGGACTTCATCATCTTTTGCTTCTTCTTGTTCATCTCAGGCGACGGTTTTCCATCCGGTCCAGTATTCATAGTTTTCCACTCTTTTCCCCAGTTATGAAGTGGCCTTGCAGCTTCTAAAGCCATGCTACGTGGGACATACTCTTCATGACTAGTAGTCACGAACTCAAGTAGGTCTAGCTTCTGATCTACATCAAATAGAGCACGTAGTGTACCATTTGCAACCAGCTTAATTTAATTAGCACAAGAAAGTTAACATTGGAGGCTTCAATTTATGACTTACGTGCGAGCCATTGTCAAACCAGTAGACGAAGCTTGAGTTTTCGTATTCAAGATGACGACGACTGTGCGGTTGAATTTTTTCGTCCACTTTCTCCAGAATCATCTGCATATTTTTTATGCCACTTTCGAAATGGGTATGAAAATACCTCGGGAGCGCCGCAAATGTAATTTGGTACTGCTTGTTTGAATGCTCATCGGTAACAAATACGGAATGATGGAAGACCCCTGTAGGTGAAAAGAATTGTTCCACAAAGCTTCCCCAATATGCTAAATCATCTTTGGCTTTCATGGCCTCAGCAACCAACCGCGAAGCGCCACTCGTCATGTAAAAAGATAATGGCTTGGTTTCCTTGCAAAAGTTACTAAGACCTTCACCAAATTTTGCTAATCTCATGGGACATTGACCCAATAATTTGTCTCCTTGTCTTGCCGCTTGTTGCTGTTGTAACATTGCAGCAGCATGCTGTTGCTGCTGTTGCTGTTGCTGTTGCTGCTGCTGCTGCTGTTGCTGTTGCTGTTGCTGTTGCTGTTGCTGCTGCTGCTGCTGCTGCTGTTGCTGCTGCTGTTGCTGCTGTTGCTGCTGTTGCTGCTGCTGCTGCTGCTGTTGCTGCTGCTGTTGCTGCTGCTGCTGTTGCTGTTGCTGAAGTGTTCCAGGTGGTTGCTGAGCTTGTATTGCTGGTGGTTGAGGTGGTTGGGACTGAGGTGCTGAGGCTGAGTGAGGTGGTTGATTCTGAGCCTGTGATTGATTTTGGTTCTGTTGCTGGGAAGCAGCTGCGGCTTGAGCTTGGGCCTGTGCCTGAGCCTGTGCCTGAGCCTGTGCCTGAGCCTGAGCTTGGGCATGATTAATCTGGGCCTGCTGCTGTTGCTGCTGGTGCTGCTGGTGTTGCTGCTGCTGCTGCGCGAGTTGATGCTGTTGAAATTGTTGTATTTGCTGGGGCGTCATTTGATGATGCCCTGCTTGGCCATTCGGTCCATGATTTTGGGCATTTTGTTGCTGCATTGCCATCAACATCTGATGATTCTAGCACGAACAAGTATTAGTAAAAGAATTAGGGAACCTGTGGATCGAGCGTACCTGTTGTTGATGTGCTTGCTGTTGATTGACATTATCTTGAGCTATCTGCTGTTGCTGCGCAAGATGTTGCGGTAGATTTACTGGGCGAGCCAATCCAGGAGTATTATGTCGCAATGCGTATTGCCCTGGGTTGATTTGGTTTGGATTCATCCCATGCATATTCATCGGCATTCCATTTGGCATCCCACCACTGTATTGCTGAGCCAAAAGAACCTGGCGTTGCCTAGATGCTTGTTGCTGTGCTAACATTTGCTGTTGTTGCAACAATTGTGGATGGTTCACTGGGAAGAATTATTGTTAGCATGATGTGCAAGTGGAGAATGCCGTTTGAACTATAACTATACAGCGTTCACGAGAACGATATAAATTGAGAGGGGGGGAAGCGATAAGAGGTATGACTTACTCATCTGTTGTTGTTGTTGTTGTTGTTGTTGTTGTTGTTGTTGAAAGAGTGCCTGCGCCTGCGCCTGTTGATTTGGATTTAGATGTTGTAAAGCATGTGCATTTGGTCCGCCAGCCCCAGGTGGCATTCCAGCCATCATAGAACCAGCTTGGGTTACTTGAGGACCACCTGGTCCAGAGACTCCCATATGAATCTGCTGAGGCATACCTGGACCTGGTTGGCCTTGTTGACCTTGAGTATGAGGGATTCCCGCCATATGACCCTGGGGAACACCCTGATGTTGAAGTCCTGGATATGGTGAGTGTGCTTGTTGCAAACTGGTCATCATCTTTGCTTGAGGTCGATTATCCACTGAATGTGGATATCGAACAATATAGATTTAAGCAAGTAACATGCGCCTCGAGCCACAATCTCCACCTCGATCGTTGTTCGATTGAGATACCTCTGCCACGACCTTGTGCTTGGTTCAATCTACGACCCAATAGTGTCCACAATTGTCTCCTCAACTCTATGTCGTCGTGGAGTATTGAATACAATGTCGTCGCGAGGATTATACAGACTAACCCCGATCGCGCACGAGGATCTCTCTCTAAAGTGGGTACTCTTTTGAACCGCGAATGCTGTCGGAATCTCGAAAACAATCAATATTCCACGAATCGAGGGAATTTGTGCAATAATTATTAGGAAGTTTGATCGGCAGATAAGTACCGCAGCAAAAGTGCGACGATCAATGTCGTCTGAAAAATAGCCGCCTTCTTGGTGAAAAGCTGTGTCGCTCGTCGCTCGTCCTTTCTTTTAACCTCGCCGATATGTAATGGGTAATCCGCGAAGAGGTGATAGAATACCGGTAGTGAACAATTAAAGAATGCCTTTTCCCTGGGGGATATGTGCAAAGTAAAGATTCTTATTAATCGAGTCGTTATGAGTGAGTATAAGTATATGTAGTTTGCGTTGAAATGCAATGCGAAAGGAGAATCCGGGGATAAATATCCGTAGTATACTTATTATTACTTCTGGGCCTGATTTTTGGGAATCCTTGCGGCTTGAATTGTTTTTGGTGGTCTGGTCGAGAAAGAGGACCCTGTCACGATGCAAGTAAATTGGTCGCAACTCGGTTCAAAATAATGCTACTGTATGAAATTTTGTATGAGTGGGTGGTATGGTGGTATGGGTTTATGGGTTGGTGGATGGGTGAGAAGTACGGTAGAGTGAATAAAAATTTTGGCGAAAAAGGTGACCGTAATAATCAGTAATGAATAATTAGAATTTCTATAGAATTATTACGAAAATTTAAAATAATAAACTATTTCAAGTATAATTATCTATATAGTAGATCAAAAGTTTATCAATAATAAACGAGAATATAAAATTATTAAATTGATATAGTTTTATAATAAAGAGATAGAATCTATATTGAGATATATATTTCAAGTATAACTATTTATAGAGTAGATAGAAAGGTTATAGAATAGAATTATAGAATCTAAGTTAATTAGATTTTCACTAAGGAGTGAAGAAATCTATAAAGAGAGGAACTCTAGGTAAGCTAGAGTTTCCTGCTATCCCCAAGTGGGACTAGCTCCTCCTGGTCACGTGCACTACAAGAAAATTCCTTCAATAATATATATAATTTAATAAAACTTGAAAATAATTATTAGAGAGAAGTAATTCAAGTAGAGAATATTATCTCAATATAGTATCTAAGATAATTTAACTAAGCTAATCTAGTTTAAATAATAAACTATATTATATAATTTATAAGAATATCGACTCGGAACTTCTAGTTAAATTATTTAATAGTAATATAATTTGAAGTATCAACTTTTTATTAGAATATTAAGATAATTATAAATTAACTCTATTATAGCTAGTAAATAATAATACTTATACTATATCGATAATATCTCCTATCAAATAACACATCTAAAACAAACAGACCACCGTACGCAATAACCTTTTTCCATTTCTCCTGACATCCAAGTTTCTTCATGCTCTCACTACTAGTACATGCTAAAATATCATGTGATATGCGAACTAAAGTGATCCTAGCGGCATATCGGACATTCGCTTCAATATAAAAATTAATCTCTGGATCGCCAAAAGCTTTCAATTCTCTTTTTTCCTACATCCTCTCTTAACTTCCTTTTCATGGCATACAGCAAGCAGCTTTAAGAATACATCTTGAGAGTTGATTCTATTACTGCAATGGTCGCATTCATGATACGCTTCAAACTCAGTTAACAATGGTATGTTACAATTACTTCTCATTACTTTTTCATTCTCCCTTCAAAATCTAATGATGATAACTTGAATCGATACTTCTTTTCCCAAATTAATCGACCATGATTAAAACTGCACTCCTCGAGTGATACTTGCGAGTTGATCTTGTTACTTGCCAGTACATGTTGTCTGAAGAATTCTTCACAATTTTGTTCTATTTGTTTGTGGTGGTGTCGGAAAATTCTTGCTGACCATCATGCAGAGTTTTTCTTTTTTAGCTTCCAAATTTCTTTGGCGTAACGGATCAACGTGCGCCAATGCAACATCATGATCGCGGTACCTTTCTGCTGCATAACCATGTGGTTCAAGGCTCCGGGATTATGTCGCCATGGTTAAACAGCAATGCTGACAAGTATATCTGATTCAACTTGATCACCGGTGCAACATATCTATTTGCGACCATTATTGCTATCTCCGATTCAACGCACTAATGAACAGTTCATCTCTGCCGCAGTTCCAATCTTCAATAAGGTTAGTTTTTTATCACTTTTCTTTTCTCCCTTCTGCTTCAAATGATGAAACACATACCACATTCGCAGTTTTCACTCGAGTCCTCGCCTTAGAACCTAAATAGAGGACAGATGAGGGTATATCTTCCTTGGATGTCTGATTGAAGCCACCAAACTATAATATTATCACATCAGTATTTTTGATGAACACAAAGCTAACATCGCTTCAAGATAGGAACCGCACAACCCCCTCTCATCAATGAAAACATGCAAAGGCTGTTACGGAATTCAAGATCAGCCTCGCGCAGTCCTTCATCTATATAGAACACACGAAATAATACAATACCCATATCCAACAAAATATCCTTTGCACATTCACATCTCGTGGCACACATCCTTCCCCTCATATAACATACTTCCCAAACACTCTGGCCCTTACCCCCGTTCCCTTGAGGATCGGTTCAATCTGTGGTATAGGCCTATTTTTGGAGGAAGAAGATTGATTTTTCGTCCGGTTACTCACCGAGGTATCTTGGATCCTTTCGAGGGTCGTGGATATTTTGGTCCATATCTTTGGGCGACATCCTTCGTCACCTAAAGCAAGCTTTTGATGGCTGTTGTCACTTTTGAATATCTTCGAGCCTTTGTTCTACTGCTACTGTTTATGAACTTTAATGATAAATCTTTGAATGAAAAATACACTTGTTGAACAACACTTCTCACCACATCCTTGATTACTGTGATAATTCTGTGAAATTTTAATAGAACGATTTCGCACACTCTTCACCTGCCGTACATGCTATAACAAAAATCAAAATTTTGTTCAGTTCAATAAACCTAAAATCTTGAAATTGCACATCATTGAAACCCTTGCCCAAAATCACAGATCTCGAGAGATGTCACTTTCCATGGTTCCAATCACCACATTTCACAATCCATATAACAGTTGAATATAAACACAGATACTCAGAGTAGATACTCTACGATTCATTGAAAATGTTCTCTATATATCTCTCTACAAACCTATATCTCTCACCCTCCCCATCCCCATCTCCATCCCTCACTCCAAACCTTCCAACCTCCCCCTTAAACTCAAACCCTCAAACCAGCGCACCCCTCCCTCCAACCCTCAACAACGCCCCCTTCTGCTCATCACTAATCCTAATCTTCGGCAAATCCCTCCCCATCCCCTTTCCTCCCTCACGAACAGGAGTTGGCAAAAAGCCTATCCCCACCAAATAAGCCAAATAATTACCCATAATCTGTTCATCTATATAACCCCCCTTACTTAAATCCTCACCCGTAAACTCTTTATCAGCACGAAGTGAGATTTCTGCATTATCATCATTCATTTCCGGCGCGATAGTGTCGGCGGGGAGATCCGAGGTTGCGAAATGGTAGAGGGGCATCAGGGCATGCTGTTCTTTTTCTGGGGACTCGTTTGCGGCGTATTCTTGGAGTTTTTGGCTCCAGACGGGGTATGATACTTCGGGAATGGTGTAGCCGTATGTTTCGAGTGTGGAGAGATATTGCGAGAAGGTCAGTCTGGGGTGCGATGTCACTTGCGCGACACCTAGGGGTGTTTGGGCCGGGTGTAAGGCTGATGCGATGACGACGCGCGCAACGTGGTTGACGGGGACTTGATTGACTGCGTTGGTGATACGGGGACGGCAGGAGAGTTGAATGCAGCCTTTTGCCATGCGGACTAAAAAGTCATCGGTGTTGGTCACACCGGATGTTTTGTCGCCGGTGATGTAACCAGGTCGAACGACAGTTCCACGAAGACCACGAGAGCCGGCTGTGCGGACGAGATACTCGGCTACCCATTTGGATTGGCCGTACCCCGTGCCGAGACCTTTTGCTGAGCCGGAGAGATCATCTTCTTCGGAGACGGCGACGCCTGATCGTGATTGCTGAACGAAATGGTCGGTATCAAGGACGGAGGTAGACGAGACGAAGGAGAGACGTTTGGGGATGCCTGTTGCGCAAAGAGAAAGGATGTCAAGGGTTCCCTTAACATTGGCGGGCTTAAGATTTTGGTACGGGTACACCCAGTGAACCTGAGCTCCGTTATGTATGATCACATTTGCAGTCTCGGAGATGGTCTTCCAGTCCTCGGGGGAAAGACCGAGTTGTGCTTCTCCAAGGTTACCGACAACGCAGGAAATGCGGGACGTCCAAGAAGGATCCCAAACCCCATAGGCTTGGCAAGTTTGGATGACACGATCGAGGGCTGCCTTGGAATCAAGTGCGCGCACGTGAGCAATTACTTTGATAACTTGAGAGCGGGAGAGAAGATCGCGCATAAGGTAGGAACCGAGGAAACCGGTAGCGCCAGTAAGGAAGACGGTAAGAGGAGTTGTTGGTGTGATCTTCTCATCCGCCGAGGGGAATGTTGCTGGGAGAGTCTTGGCAAGTGCATGGGCATCTCCTGCATAATCCTCAGCAACTTCAACCTCTTCTTTCACATCGCCATCAGATGAAGATCTGCGTGCGATCTCTCCGGCAAATCCTTTCAAGGTTGGGTTTCGGAAGATAACACTCATATTGATGTTAATCCCAGTCCATTTCTTATTGACTTTGAAAAGCATTAGTTGTGCCAAGATACTGTGCCCTCCGATATCGAAGAATGAATCATCAGGGTTGATGGTTCTCTCATCAATAGTAGGAATCAATGACCCCCAAATGGCTGCAACCTCTTTTTCGGAATCCGAGAGTTCGGAATATGCTCCAACAGGTCTTGCTGCTGCCAACTGTGCAGCATCTGGGAATGGAAGTGCAGGCTTATCCTTTTTTCCATTTGGATTGAGAGGGAATTTATCCAAAGGAATGATAACTTCCGGAATTGCATAGGAGGGCAGCTTGGTCTTGAGATATTTCCTGATATCGTCACCAAGAGGCCAAAACCTTCGAAGTCTTCCTTGGATTCCTTCGCCGCCGGAAGTGTCATCTTGAAGCCCTAATTGTTCTAACCACTGTGCCCACTTTGGCATATCAGGTACGATATAGCTGACAAGTGTTTGCTCTTCATCCTTGTTCCTCCTGACCAAAGTGACATTGTCCATAACCATAACGTGATCTGAGAGATACTTGTCAATTTCACCAAGTTCAATTCTGAATCCGCGAATCTTGACTTGATCATCTGCTCGACCAACACACTCTACGTCTCCAGTTTGAGTATATCGACCCAGATCTCCTGATCGATACATTCGATCTCTTGGACCCTTATAAAACTCTCTCCATGGTTCTTCGGATAAGGATTTTGCGTTCTTTGCATCTTCCTCGACCCACTTGGAGTTATCAACAAACCAACTGTCCACGAACTTGGCCTTGTTGAGTTCGTCACTTCCAAGATAGCCTTCAGCAAGTCCAGCGGCGCGAACGTATATCTCACCAATTTCGCCCATATCACAAATACGGTTTCGATTCTCGCGATCGACAATTAGTAGCTGTACGTCTTTCATTCCTTTACCAGCGGGAATCACATTTCCCATGTTTTCCAAATATTGTGGATCCGAAGCCCGGCTTGGGATCTCGTAATAACTGACTGCACGCTGTGTTTCGGTTGTTCCATACATGTTCACGATAAACACATTCGGGGCCAACTTTTGTAGAGCCTTACAATCCCTCTTGATCAAAATATCTCCGACGAAAAAGGAGTGGTGAAGAGCCGGAAATTCAGCACTAGCTCCGCCAACTAAAATTTGACCCATTGCCGGTGTCAAGTGAGTAACAGTCGCACCATGTTCTCTCATCCATTCAGCCAATCTTTCATGCTGAATATCATCCTTTGATGGAACCAATAACTGGGCACCAAGGAAGAGAGGTGTAAAGATATCTCTCTGAATAGGATCATGAGCAATACCACTCAACATTGTGAACTTGTCATTCTTGGACAGACCAAATCTCTCCGCCATCCAGTCAAAATAGTATGCAAGGGAGTAATGTCTTCCTCGAACACCCTTGGGACGACCTTCCGAGCCCGAAGTAAATGATAAAGTAGGTGTGGAATCAGGTCCAACAATGACACCAGGACTCTTGGCCTTCAATGATTGTTGGTCTTTGAAAACATCGTTCCCTTGATCATCACCACCGACCAAGGTACCATCATCCTTCAATTCGAGACTTGGGATGTAGGTCTTCAAATCCAAATTCTCCGCAATGAAGTTACGTACTTTCTCCGTTAACTCTCCAGCCTCTTTAGTGGCTTTCTCAATGACTACCAAAGCCCTTGGTCTCGCTACATCAAGATAGATGTTTTGTCGATCAGGAGGATAAGAAGGATCAATGACTGAGAAAATGGCACCAGCCTTTAAGATTCCCATGACAGTGACAACCAAGTCCACACCACGGTAACTATATGACATGACAACTTCATTTCGTTTGACTCCACGCTCCACCAAATGATGAGCTAAAATATTTGAAGCTTCATTAATCTGTCGGTAGGTGAATTCTCTCCTTGGCGAAGATGCTGATGCAGTTTCCACTACACAAAGTCTATCAGGATGGGCTTCAGCATTTGCAGTGAAGATATCCTGAATAGCACCACGGAAAGCAGACCAAAGAAGATCTGATGTAGGATCTGGTAGTTCGAAGTTTGTTGATGCCATGGTTGTTAAGTTTTAGATGGTGGGGTGAAGTGTATTTTTTTGGAGGGGTAAAAGTTGAACAAGATTTCCAAAAAATGATGCTTGAACTGATTGATTTGAGAAGGATTTCAACTACCTACTTCAAATCAAAACAAGTTCAAAGTAACTTTTTATACCTATGTTCTTTGCCCAATTTTGTGTGTTTAAATCACCGTATGCTTGTGGAATATGATATGGAGAATAGGAGAATCAAATTGTGAGAAGTGTGAGAAGTGTGATACGACCAAGAATCAATCGTTCAAGATGGGAGAAAGGGTCGATGAGTTCGAGAGATGAGCGGATTTAGTTTTGATTTTGAGGTTCTTCTGAAGAGACAGAAGAGAATAGGAATATGAGAAACTTAAGGTAAGTTTTTGTTTGGCTTTTATAAAAATTTATTAATGGGATGAGAAAGATTGGGAGTCATACCCATTTTTTGCATTTACTCTATCCTTTCACTTCAAACATTAAAAAATTAATCCCGTAATCGGAGATTCACGTGATCAATATAATTTTTAATTCAATCATCCAACTTATCCAATCACCCCTGCCAAGATCTTTAAAAAATAATAATACGGAGGAAAGTTTATCCGTTCATTTTTATGCTTCCTTGAAGTCGTGAATTGCGGCGGGATGCTCCCCCACTTTTGATTGGATACAAGCTCAAAATAGATTCGGGAGGAAGAGACAGCTTTAATTTTCTCCTATCTGAATCCGAATTTCAATACAATATCTCGACAACTTTATTAATACAGTCCAGTCCTTTCTTCACATCTTTTCTTTCTTTAATTCTCCTTGATCTTCATTCCTTTGGTGGGTGAATTTATGCCTAGTCAAGATTCTACTCATTGTTCAAGCAAGTCTTGGGTTTCAAGAAGGTTATCTTGTTTAGTACCTACATCTATTTGATACATGGGTTGAAGGCATACGCATACGTCAGCTACATCCATCAGCTCATCCAGGAGATAACTTTCACCAATTTCATCCAGCCAAACTTATTATACGAAATTTGGATGCGATTCTAGACAGTACTCAACTCGTGGCTTAAATAGTTTGTTTTACTACTGTTTCTATTCCTTTTCTCACGATGCCTGTTCAACGAACCCTTTTCGGGACACCGATACCTCATATTCCTCCTCGCCGCATGGCCATACTTCTCGGAACCATTGCAGTTTTCGCTGTCATGACATTGGTCTTTACTCTCCCCAATAGTATACCATCCGGTCCTTCACTCGGCAGATTCACAGATCATCGCATGTCATTACCAAAACTTCCTAAACAACTATCTTCACCGAGTATTCTGAATCCTTTCCGACAAGCAGCACATGCTCCACCAGTTCAGAAGAATAGCACATATGGGGAATCTAAATGGCATGCCAATTGGAACTGGTTGAGTCCATTTTCATCATCGGTGACATTGGATGAGAATCGATCATTACTACCACCTCTCGTGGAACGTCCAACCATTTATACATACTACGATCATACGTTGGAAAAGGAGGACGAGCTAAAAGATGCGGAGAATGCGATCCTGGTTACTTGGAGAAGGGCGTGGTGGGCACAAGGTTTTAAGCCCATAATCTTAAGTCCTGCGGAAGCCATGAACAATCCATTATATCCCGAATTACAACGACTTGAAGTCGAATCTTCATTGAAAGTCGACTTGACTAGATGGTTAGCCTGGGAAAATATGGGCACGGGATTACTCTGCAATTACCTTACCCTTCCGATGGGGCCTTACGAAGATCAAACTCTGAGTTATTTGAGAAGAGGAGAATATCCATTGTTGACCAGATATGATGAAATGGGAAGTGGTATTTTTTCAGGATCAAAATCGGATATCACAGCAGCTGTCAAAGCGGCTTTAGCAAATCCTACGCTGAAAGATGCCAAAGATTTTATTAGTGCTGTACCGAAAGATACCTTCGAAATTGATCCTTCCCACGATTCTTTAGCTTTCTACCAGACGAAGATCGTCGAAGATAAATATCCACACATTGCAAAGGAATCTGAAGGAAACGTAGCAGCAGGTATGCACCTTTTGAACAAGCTTATGACATCTCATCTTCATCAAACATGGCAAAATATTTTCACCAAGGGAATATCTGTGGTCAAACCAGAACCAGAGCATATGTCATATGCTGTTGAACCAGCTTTGAAGCTCGCTGAATATCTTGCGCAATGTCCCGATTCTCCAATGCCAGCGTCGTGTCCTCCCAACCGACCAAAATGCAAGCCATGTGTTGCATCTACTCCAATGAAAATCAGTACTCCTGCCTTCTATCGCAACACCTCAGGTCTCTACACCATTGGAACTGTTCCACATCCCTACACAATGTCCACATTAAGTCGCTTCCAAGAAACCATTGATGTTCGCTGGATCAGACGAGAGTCCCTTCGTGATGTTTGGCTCTCAACCCTCACCAAAGAACTCCTTGGTACAGGTGTATCCGGCACCCCACGTATCATTAAATTCAAAGAGGCAGTCGCAAGCCCACACGGAACATCTCATTCACTCTGGCTCACGGCCGAAAAAGAAGTTCCCTCGGATTTAGACTGGCATTTCGGCTTCACCATCCCTCGCAATGCTACCGACACCGGAAAATCCGAAACCCCCGTTCCCGGACCAGAACGTAGACCCAAACCTGTTCATGATCCAAAAGATGGACCAATACCCACCGAGGAAGATAAAAAGAAAGAAGAGTTTTTGCTGGAAAAAGCAAAGATGTTTGGGGGAAGTGAAACTCCGGAAGATTTATTGATTAGGGGGGCGGTGGAGGCGTGGAATTTGGCGGATACAGAAGCTTGGAGGTTTGCAAGGGCTTTTTTGGCAAGGAGTAGAGTGGAGAGGTTGAAGTGGGAAGAAGAGGAGAAGAAATATGCGGGTGGAGCGGGGGCGGAGAGGGGGAGGAAAGTGGGTGGGGGAGATGGTTTGATGATAATTAAATCGGAGCGGATGTATGCAAAGTCTTTGTGTTTCATGCAGTTAAGCGGAATGGCATATGTATTTGGTTTCTCTACACGAGTACAATGGGTAGATATCGGAATATCATTTGGAGTTTATGGGGGATGTAGTACCGTATGTATTTGTATACAGTATTAGTATCAAAATCAAATCCCAACACAAGATCACAATCCCATCACAATCCAATACCAAAATTCAAACTCAAATACAACATCATATCATATCATATCATATAATCAGATATCAACAATATCAATATCTTCAATCCAGTTAGGTATACTGTACTCAGTAGAGGTATATAGGTATACAGGTATATTGAGTGCTCGAGTATATCAATATCAAGTATCAAATATATACGAGTAAATATCAAATAACTATATCAGATATATCTATATTAAACATATCAATATCAATATCAAACATAGTAGGCATAAACAAACAAACAAGCCACTTCACTCCACCCGCATTTAAATCCTCATATTTAAATACTCATAAATTGTTTATATATATATATACTATACAGTACTCGTATAACCTAGGTAACTAACTACAGTGCCATATGAAAAATGAAAAATAAAATACCTCAATACTCACTTACTTATTCACTCACTCACCCACTTACTCACTCACCCACTTACTCACTCACTCACTCACTTACCTACTCACTCACTCACTCACTCATATATCTATCTACTCATGTATCTATCTATCCAATCCAATCCAATCCAGTCCAATCCAAAATCCAATCCTAAATCCAAAATCCAAAATCCAAAAAACATAACAAACAGGATGATAGGATGATTGATAGGTTAGGTTAGGACTCGGATGTTAAGATAATACTAGTAGATATCTTATCTACCTACCTACAGAGTACTGCTAGTGAGTATAGGATGTTGAGATCTCAACTCGCTATATCCATAGTATACTGTACTATACTACCCTCGCAATATCCCGTTTTATTCTATTCTATTCTATACTGTGCTATTGTTCTGTTGTTCTGTTTGTTCTGTTGAAGAATAATACAATACGCACTGTCTGAATAAAATCATAAAATCACGAAAAAGACAAAAAAAAACAAAGGAAACCCCCTCCTCCCTCCTCCCCCAATCTCCCCAATCTCCCCTCACCTCCCCTCCCCTCCCTCACTCATCCCCCAAACCCTTCTACAAAGTATCACCACCCATCTCCCCGCTCATCTCCCTACTCGTCACCCCTCTTCTTTCATTTATATGACCTTCTTGATTGATTTCTGGGGTTATTGGTGTTTTGACGTTCTCGTTTGCGCTTTTCGTGCCATTTGCATTTGCATTTCCATTTTTATTTACTATCCTCTCATCCCCAACCCCAACCCCCTTCCCCTCCCCCTCTTCCACCCCTTCCCTCTCCCTCCCCTGCGCACGCCCCTCCAACCCCCTCCTAACATGCGCACTCAACCATCTCCCCTGCAAATCCACCTCATTCATCTGTCCCGCCCCCCGTATCTCACCTACACAAGTTTCGGTGCCGCATGTACAGGTGAAGGGTTGCGACATGTGCCATTCGGTGGAGGGGTAGAAGAATGTTAGGGGGGTGTTGGGGAAGAGGGGGTATTGGGATACTAGGATTGCGTGGTTTTGGGGGTCGAATATCTATGAGGAGGGGAGGGTTAGTTTTTGTGGGGGGAGAGAAGAGGGGAGAAGGAAGGGGAGGGGATGGGATGGGAAATTTGGGGGGGAAGGGGGGAAAGGGGAATATGGGAGGGGAGGGGAAGGGAAGAGGGGAAGGCGTACGAGTGATGGCTCGCAGGAATGATTTATATATAATAAATCCGAATTGAGATTCATATGCGCATTGGTATCCATCTGAACAGTAGCATAAGTAGCTTCGGGTGCGAGTGTACAGGGTGGGAAATCCTGACTATCATATTAGTCCTTTCTTTCTTTCTTCCTTCCTTATTTATAAACATAATCATATTCTATATTGCATCCATCATGAATGCGTGAAAGGAAGAGTGGGAAAGAAGGAGAGAGGAAGGAGAGGAAGATAAGAAGCAAGGGAAGAAATGAAAAAAAAAACCAACCAATTTTGCAAAAATTGCAAAGGGGGGAAGAGATACTCGGGAGAGCGATTCCGTCGTATATCCATGCTCATCTTCGCCGTGGATGACTTGTTGGATTTCGGGGTGCGATGGTTGAGACCAGAAGGGTTTGATGGGTGACATTTTTTGGGGTTTGGGGGGGTGGGGTGGGATGAGGAATTTCTGGATTGGGGAATGTTGAGGATATATATATGAGATATTTGTGTGGTGGAAGTTGGTGGAGTTGGTGGTTTCAATGGAGTGGTGGGCGTGTTCTTTCAAGAAGATAAGATGTGGAATATGAAATGAGATGAGATGAGGTTCTTTTGAGAATCCTTTGTGTTTTACTGAATTGTATTGTATAAAGCAGAAGGAAGTGAAAGGAAGAAGTGTCAGAAAGAAAGAAGGAAAGGAAGATAGAAAGAAAGAGAGCAAGAAAGGATCTTGACACATGCCAATCAATCTCAAGCTTTCGTCCCCGTCCCGTACATCCCATTAGCTACCCATTAGCAACAACTTACGAGCCAGCTTACCTTACCTTACCTCACTATATTGTATGTATTGTACCTCGTTTATCGGCAGAAGAGATCTTTTTCTCTCCATCTTTTCCTCTCCTGGATAGAGTAACACACATCTGATCTCCCAGCACCTCCAACATAGTAATTGCCTTACCTCATGACACATATAAACCCCTTCATCTACTCGTACCAAGGTATCAATCCATCCCCCCTACAAAAAGAGGTGTCGAAGTTTTAAGTGGTGTGCGTTTGAATTCTGAACCTCGGTATCTTTGGATGGTGATCTATTTCTGTTTCTGGTGTTTGGTGGGGTAAGATTAAGAGATATATCTCAGTTATCTGTTTGTTTTTACTCGTAGATGAATGAAAGAGTAGAAAAAAAGAGGTTCATTTTGTACCTTCCTGCTCTACTCGGTACTCGTTACAGTATGAGATATATGATATATTACATAATCACTCTATCTATTCAGTACGAGTACTCGAGTACAAGAGAAAATCATCTCAATCATCTAGGGTTATCTCCTCAAACAACTATTAATTCTCTGATTTTGGATATCTATATCTACAACACACAACTACAATACCGGTATACGATTACCAATACCTACGCAAATAACCTTACAGCATAAGCTTTCTCTCGAGTCTTGAGTCTTGAGTCTTGAGTCTTGATCATTTTCCTAACTTACTTCTCTAGGTACTTCTTTATTTCTTTATTTCTACTCGAGTACTCATACTTATTATTCATATAAAGTAAAGTAAAGTAAAGTACGAGTAATACAACAATCTTACAATACAGTAGCTACTGTATCCCATCATGGAATTAAACACTGCTATTGTGGAAATTTGTAATATAACCTTATACCAAGGCTAGTTAGTGATGGAATGTCATATTATATCATGTGTAGTACGGAATAAGGAGGTGTAGGATATTATTAATGTCTAGATGAATAATAATATAGCGAGGTGAATACTGTTACTGCTTGTTCTTATTATGCGATAATTACATACCATACACCTTTCATCCCCCCTCTCCTCCTTCCCCTCCTCTAACTAAGAACCAACCTGCACCCCTCCATTAGGATGCAAACTCTGTCCACTAATAAAACTACTATCGGGCCCCGCCAAAAACACAAAACATGTAGCGCATTCTGATGGTTGACCCGGTCGACCCATCGGACTTGTGAATTCCTTTTGAGCTTTCTCGTTCATGGTTGCTGGGATAAGGGGGGTCCAGATGGGTCCTGGACAAACGCAGTTTACGCGGATGCCGTTGGCGATTTGTTGGTTGGAGAGGGCGCGGGTGAAGGCGACGATGGCGCCTTTGGTTGAGGTGTAGCTGGGGTTTTTTGTTAGGGGGTGAGAGTGGTGAGGAGGGTGTTTTGGGGAAGGGAAGGAGGGAAGGGAAGGAAGGAAGGAAAGGAAGGAAGGAAAGGAAGGAAGGAAAGGAGGGAAGAAATGGAAATACGTACTCGAGGAGATCAGGACGACCAACGTAAGGGTTTACGGAGGCACATGTGATGATTGTGTCTCCGCGTGACATTTGTGGGAGGATATATTTGGACAGGAAGAAGAAAGGATGAATGTTCACATTGAAGGTATTAACCCATTGCTCTCTATATCAATCATTAGCATCCATCAACATCAAGTACATTATATGTCAAACAAAAATAAGAATCAAGAACACATACTCAGACAAATCAGCAATAGTCTCCACCATCATCTGCGTCCCATGGTTCAGAACCAAAATATTAATTCTTCCCATCGCCTCCTTGGCTTTCTCAGCAATATTCTTACACGCCTGAGAACTCTTCAGATCCGCCGAGAACAAATGTACTTTTCCACCCTTGGCTTCTACCAATTTCTTGGTTTCTTGCGCATCTTTTTCTTCTTCGGGTAGGTAGACGATGGAACTTTCGGCTCCTTCCATTGCATATAGAATGGCGACTGCACGACCAATTCCACTATCACCACCGGTGATCAAGGCTTTCTTGCCCTTAAGTTTGCCGGCTGCGAGGTATGGTTGATAGCCGTCATCGTCGGTGGGGAGTTGATCGTTGATGGCTTCTTTAGGTAACTCGGTTTGTTTACCTGGTGCGGAAGATTGATGGGATACGGGTGGTTGAAATCCTATGAATATGTTTGATTAGGATACTGTATGATGGTATGATGGTGGTATGAAATGAAGTGAGAGGGTATATTGTGCTGAATACATGAAGGAAGAGCTGCTGGACTGGGGGAATATCTTCATAACGTACCCTGTTCGAAGTGACCCTTATTGGAAGTCATAATTATTATTTGGATGATTTGTGATTATTAGGTGAAGTTGAAGTAAATTGGTATTAATGAGAAGATAAAGATGGCAGGGAATATTCAAGTGATATCCAAAATGTTTATAGAAAGAAGATTCTTAACCAACCCAAGCAGAACTTCATCTTTTTTTATACTTTGTCGATACGATTGTACTCGTATGTATGATGATGTATTTTCCAAGAAATCCGTTTGATGATCAGTTATTTGATGAAAGAGATGGATCAAATGCTCCGATATCCATATTGTAGCTTTTGTTCATTTCTTCATTTTGTAGCGAGATCGATGATGTAAAGTTAATATGATGAGTGAGGTAAGAGTTCTAGACTTAATAAGGAGGGGTCAAGTCGGAAATGTTACCGAATAACCTTACCAGGTTAGTTATAAAGGTTCAACCGGATATGGATATGGAAATCATCGAGAATTGCAAAATGCCATAAATGAATTCGAGTTTTACAGGATGCGTATTTGAAATGCTGATACAGTATTCTCAACCAACAGGTATAAAGGATCAAGATATCCCTTTATCATTGTTGTATAACTTTTACCAATAAATAATAGATAACAACACTCAATAGAAAGGAAGCTTTCTATTGACTGATCTGGTATATATATAAGTATGAAATGCTGGTATAGTATTCTCAACCAACAGGTATATAAAGGATCAAGATCATCCCTTTATCATTGTTGTATAACTTTTACCGATAAATAATGAATAAAAATACTCGAGTAGAAAGGAAGCTTTCTATTGACTGATCTGGTATATCTATAGTATGAAATGCCGGTATAGTATTCTCAACCAACTTCAATAGGTATAAAGGATTATGATATCCCTTTATCGTTTTTATATTTTCTTTATCTTTCTGCTGGCTGGGCGACAGTGCTTAACAGAAAAGAAGCTTTCTTTATACTGGCCTGGCACACTTATAGTAAGTAATGCGAACGAACCATCTGTTTGGTGTACACTCGTATACTGTACTTCATATCTTATACTCTACCATTGTTGGATAGGTTAAACATCTATTGCGATGTAAATCCTGACCTTCATTCCTACTCACCTTGAGGATGATATCTCTCATGTAGTCATGAGTTTGTGTTCAATTCCAATGAGCTTACCGTTCAAATGCCTAGCTAGACACAGTACTCATATAGTATTTTCCTTCATTGCGAGCAAACTACCTGAGTATGGCTTTCCACGGGTCTTATCACAAGCTTGAGTTCAAGTTCGAGATCGAGGTCGTGGTTGAGGTTTGTATTTTGTTTCTGTCTTTGTTTTACGAGTATGTGCCAGCTTTCATTTGTACGTTCGATGTTTCTTTTCCTACTCAGTACTTGTATTTGATTCTATTCTCGAAAATGTTCGGCATGAGCCAAGATATCTGCCAATATAAAACAGCACAGCCACCAGCCACAATCACCCAAGTGCGGCCCCTTCCTTTACTCGTACGTCATTATCATTTCACGATATCAAGAAATCAAGTTTCTCTTCGATACCTACCTAGGTGATACCATACAGTAGTAGAGTAGTTGTTGCACAAGTACACTCACACTCACAACTTTTGCTGCGTCGTTGCGTCGTTGAGTCGAAATTTCCCAGTTTGAGACCCATCCTATCCTCCACAATTGTCCCTCCATTCAGTAACCATCAAGTCCATCAGATTTTTTTATAAAAATAACCGAAATGTCCCCTCCTATTCTTAATCCCAATCCCATACTTGTTCCTATCCCATTAACATCCTCATCACAAACCCACATTATCCTCAAGAATCCAGATACTTCCCAATTACCAGATAAAGCTACTCTGAGAACGCTATCTTCTTTTATCAAAAGCTATCATAAAACACCGAATCCATCTCAATCTCAATCTCCATCTTCATCTCCATATAAAACTTCCATACCACTACAACATCCATCCACCATACCACCAAATCCACCCATTCCACCTCTCACACATACACATACCCATACCCAAGTCCAACCCCCAACAGCAACCCCAACACCCCAAAATCAAACCCATCCCTACCCCCCAAAAATGGCCCACACAACCACAACCATAACCACACGCCCCTCCCTGCTCTCCCGTCTCCGCGGCGCCAAAACCCACCAGCGCACCTATGAGAATTCCACCTCCTCTCCCAACCCTAAGCTCACCTCCACCCACAGTCATAACCACAACCACAACCACACTCATAAAACCCACCACAACAATCACACAGCCGGTATTACACAACAACCACCACATCATCACCAACGCAAACCCAGCATTGGGGATAAAATCAGCGGGGCGATGATGAAGTTACGGGGTCGCTTGACTAGGAAACCTGGGTTAAAGGTATAGTTTTATTCTTATTTTTATTCTTATAACCATGTGTATATTCATTTTCGACGAGTATATAATTTCCATAACCTAATATTTCCATACAAAAATTAAATTTACAAATCAAACCAAACCAAACCAAACCAAACTACGAGTAACAACTAATAACTAACTAACAACAAAAATAACAGGCCGCAGGAACCCGAAGAATGCGAGGAACGGATGGGAGGGGTACCGGTAGTCATTCGAGTTATGTTACTGCGTGTTGAATATACACTACCTACCTACCACCCACAGGCTACCTACCTACCTACCTATCTTCCGATCGATCGACACGCGAAGGATCATGCCAGGGTCAGAAGTAACGAGTAAAGAGTGTTTGTATTACATATACATATACATATATGAAAATGGAGATGAAGATGAAAATGAAAATGAAAATAAAAATAATACCCAGAAAGCAGCTTAGCCGAGCAGAGGAGATGAGAGGAGGATAAGAATTTTTCGTTGATATGATATTTCGTCGAATTAGAGTTATATATTTAGTTAATACTCGTACACACAATCGGATTACAATTCAAGTTAAGAGGACCATACTCGAGTATAAGTAGAATTAATATTTTGGTAAACATAATCTTATAATAACGGAACATCGTGCTATATCAAACCATATCAAACCATATCATATCACATCAAACCACATCATCACATCATCACATCATATCATAAACTCTATTCAGTATTATATAGCAAATTATATGTTTTGAATTTCTTCTGCCTATCTACCTATGTACTGTGATCAGTGTGATGCAAAACCGAGTAAGAATCCCTCAAGGAGATAGATACTCTAGTTCTACATACATCAAGCCATGCAGCAACCATATATGATGGATGAGGTGAACCTAATCGAAAATCAAAAACAATGTAATGCAAATATTTGGTGGTGAAGTAAACCCTTCCTGTTTGTAAGCCTTTTCGTCATCGTTCGTGAGTGAGTTTAGCCCAACATCCAGTTGCAAATCTAGCAGATTGAGCTATCTGGAATATTGCCAAACCCTAATGTCATCCAGCATATGAATGGTTAATGAAGTCTCGGAGAAGAGACTCCATTGTCCAAAGTATACCAGATGATGTGTAATCATCATTCCGTCCATTATAATATCCTCCAATGTACTCGTGTTATTCGTCCCATATTCCACACCACAAGCTCCCACAATTCTCAATTATATCCTCCCAATTTCTTTCAAATAAACCATCCTTCCACAACATTATTCCTCTTCTTGTTCGAGTAGACAAGATGACAAGAGAGAAAGCACCAAAGAAATCCATAAAAAAAAGAACAGAAACAGATTCATAGATATCGTCCCAGGTCATGCGTCCATCGTATCGTATCGCGATACACCATTATTATCCTCAAATTATAAGCAAAGTACGACAATGAATAAGTGGAACTGCAACAAGGTGATCAGCTCAGACAATAGCTCTTTACAAGTGCTAGTAGAGTTGAGGTATCAATCATCTAAGCAAGATCGCCTGCTACCGCTCGAAAAAGAAGAAATGAAAGCATAAGAAATCCGTAGCATGAGTAATGTACCAGGTAATAACAGCAAAGAAGACCAAATTGAAACAAACTCCAAGGAAATTGTAGGGTATCGCAACAACGTGTAGTTCCAATCGAGCAAAGGTATAAGGAAATGGTAGGTCGAATGGATTTTAGTAATGTTTCACACCGACATCATACATGGTTTCGTCCCATCTGAAAATCCTTGATTAGCAAGAAAAAGATACATCTCTCAGAAAACGATAAGATCGCCGGTGCTCTCATTGCTATGAAAGGTTTGAGTTGGAGGAGATGTTGAAACTAACTGTAATTCATCTAGGTCCATCATTGAATCATCCTGATCCATGATGTTTCTAGGTTGAACAGAAGCTCCAACCTCCAAACCTTCGACACCAAGGGTTGGCGATGACTGACTTGCCGAGATAGGTCGGGACGTAATACCAATTAGCGGAAGAGAAGCCGATGATCTGGTCAACCGATGGGCTCTTTGAGGAAAGCCATGAAAGCTTGGCTCGGTCTCTTCACAGTCTTCGGCCTCATCATCTGAAGTAAGTAATCCTTCCAAGAGTTCTTGGTGATCATTCTTACGCTTCTCCCTCAAAGCAAAGTTAGCCTTGTTGATGTCATTGCTGTCTTTGTGCTTGTGAGTACGGTAGAGAACAGGCTTGGGGTCAGCGAAGTTTGGAAGATTTCTACTCAATACTTCTAGTTGTGCCTTGCTTGGAGAAGGATGTTTCTTTAGCTTCCGATTAAGCGGAGCAAACCCCGAATCACTTGTAGATGTAGATAGAGTTTGAACGGCAGCGACCGCGGCAGCAAAATTGTTGACTGTCTTCTCCTTAAGTATGCCAACCTGCTGTACAAGATTTCGAATGTGCTCGGGTTGGGGTTGGTCCTTTACTTTGACTGGACTACCAGCGAGCATACCTTGATAGATTTCGCTGTCTTCAGCAAAAGCGTTATGATCAAGCACAGATGGAGATCCTGCGTCCACCTTTTGCATTCTTCTACTTCTATCGGGATCGGTATGGTTGCATTCAAGTCGCAGTCTTGGGGTAGATTGAGCCAATGGGCTTGATGTGAGCAACGAATCCAGGTCGTCGAAGCCTTTGTTATTTTGGTGAGCTGAAACTTTCTTGTTCTTCCGCTCTGGACTTGGGAACTCTGGTGCGGATTTTTGGTCAAACATTTGACCACCGAAGGCAGGAGGAGGCATGATTTGATCACTCGAACTCGGTGGCTCGGTGAATGGGTCGGTCATAGTCGAATGCTGACTGTGAATTGATCTCGCATCACTTCTCAGTGGTTTTCTAGGGATTTTCAGGTTTCCTGTTAAATTTCGAAGTTTGGTATTATCCTTCAAATTCTGGGCTATGGGAAGAGTTAGCATCGCCAGTTTAGAAAGAGGAGATATTTGAATTGGACTTGCCCTCATTGAGTCTCATATCAGTATCACTCAGAGACTTTGAGCGTCTATGAACGTGATCATTGATTTGTGGCGGGTTGACGAGAGGGGAATCAACCAATGAATCCTTTTGGCTGTTATCATTCTTGCGACGACGAAAACTTCCTTGTAAAACATTCTTGACTTTGAGAAAAGCTCCAGCCTTCAAGCGTCGCTTTTTTTCGACAACCAATGAGTTGGTCGAGCCGGCCTTGAGCTCCTCAGTTGCTTTGAGGGTTCGAGCAACGGAAGCATTGATAACATTCGGATCAGAAGGACTGGCAACTGATTTTGATGGGCTTCCGGAAGCTTGCTCGCGAAAACTGCTTGAGGCTCGAAAATTTGGCTCCTTGGCAAATCTTCTATATTGTAAATCCTTCGTTGGACTCCTATGACGAGCCGTCTTCAATTCCGACTTTCTCTTAGATGACTTCCTCGGAATAGGAGGCGCAGAATTCTTTCGTGCGTGAGATGAAGGATTTTCCGCATGACAATCACCATTAGAGTCATTAGCTTCGGTAAGAGTGGTCTTTCCCGTAATCCACATCTCCTTTTCACTGAAATTGAGACTTGGCAATTGTGGTAGGTTGCTCTCGGTGGTTGTAGCCGCAACGCTTGGTTGATTGACAACAGGCTCATCTAACAAATCACTGCTTTGCTCATTTGGACTTTCTTCAACTGGTTCCTGTTCTTCAATACCGGTTGTCGAGTGAAAAGCCGATAATTGGCGCGTGCTTGACTCTGTTGAAAATCTCATATTAGCTCGACTTCCAAGTTGTAGCACGATATCGAATCAACTTTATGATATCAAACAGATGAAATAGCAATAAAGCATCTCCAAGAAACATCTTGTATTTGAAGTGAGCTGCTCGACCATCTGCTACATGATCAAGCATGGTTGCAAAAAATTGAGAACAACTATTTGGATTGATCTTTGGATTGATCTTTGGGATGGGAGAACATTATTAAAATCAAATAACTGACCTCTCTTATTCGCTCTATTCTTCTTTGCTTTGATGTACTGCGAGTCTCTGAGTGAAGCAAATGAGCCCATCAGAGTCTTCTTCTTTTTCTTGCCATAAGTCTCCATGACGAAGACGGTGGTCGTGTGAGGAAGACGGCCGTGTACAAGGTATAATGGAAAAACGTGGAGAGAGGTAGGTGGTGATGGCTAGAAACTGTGGGTAGTGAATGTTGTTAGCCAAGGCAAGATCGATGGATAAGATTGAAGACAACGAGGGAAGGAAGGAGGGGATTCAGGGGTAGCGCGTAGGCTACCTTCGAGTAGTAGCACGAATAGTATACTAGACTTCAATTGATCGTGCAACTATAGCTCGGTGATTGTGCGTTTGGAAATTATTCTCTTCCAAAGCATGAGGGGAGAGGAAGGCGTAGGCAGGCTGTAGTAGGATAGAGCGTTCAGAGACTCAAGTTCGACGGGTACAATCAACAGTAATTGATTGTACGACCTCAGTTCAAGTCTCTTATGCTCTTGATCCCAAATAAATGGATAATAACCATAGATTTGTTGAAGTAATAATGGAGAAGGAGGAAGAAGGGATGGGATGGATGCGATCTTACCTCAAAGGAGCAGGGCGATTATCTGTCTTTCAAGCCGTAATAGTAGCTCTTTCGTCTTGTCAAATTAGCATGGAAAATATGGAAGCTTTTGATGTATGTTTGACAATGGATCTTATGGTATGATGGAAATGGAATGGGGTGGTTGTGGGTTGTAGAGGTTGAGGGAGAGAATATTTTGACAGCGTGGGGTAAAGAGATTTGAGTTTGAGACACCCACAATGTGAAATAAGGTACCCCTCCAGGTAAGTAGTAGACGGGGATGTGCAAGGACAAAACCTGGGGTTGACAGCAGTGAAGTCCGGATGAGGAAGTAGTATGAAGGCAGGGGAGTGTACCCAGATTAAGAAATGATTCTAAGACCTTATTTTGACATAGGTAATCTCAAATCATTCTATTAAACAGTAAAGGATGTAAGATAGTATTAGTAGGTGTTAACTTGATTGTTTTGTCAAAGAAAGAATTCAAACATCATACAGCTTTTCTCGAACACCAGTCATTACCTTAACGACCTTACCTCGAGACTATTTGTGAAAGGGACTCAATCTGAACACCACAACTACCTCTCTTGTTACACACTTATCCAGAGGACCCAGTAGTATATTAATACTTTGAACCAGCTGCAGGACTATTAAATCCTCCAGTACCTCTCCACAGAGCTCAAGGAAGGCTGGACAGCATCTGGAACCGCAACAGTAACCTTTTCACATTGAATCAGCCGTAGCTACTATTAATCTCCTCCTCTGGTATCTCTCCGCAGACCTCGAGAAAGGCCGGACAGCTTCTGGAACCGCAACAGTAGCCCTTTTACTTTCAGCCAGCTACAGCAATGATTCACCCCCTAGCACCTCTCCACAGAGCTCGAGAAATGAAGACATCTTCTGGAACCTTTTCTAGGACTCGAAATGTTTACCAGCAGAAGGACATATCCTCTACCATCTCAAATGCAATGAGGCACAATAAGAGAGAAATCGAATGCCCATCCCCCTCAGACTTCTGTCTATGCCATCCTATCTGCATTAACTAGGAACTATCATCTACCAAAGCATCATGCCGGAGGGGAATCTACAGCAGCCGCAGATAGATCATCATGTACTGCAGCGACAGCAGCAGCAATACCTCAGCGAATCCTTCAATTGTCAAGCTCATCAGTAGCAATTGAACCAACAATTCTATGCTTTCATCAATCTCAATCTGCTTCTGACCTAGCATCATCATTCTGGATACCAATCAATTGGATTGTTTAAATACTCAACACGGCGCGGTCATGAAGATTTCATCAATGAAATAACAATCCGATCTTTTTATCCAGTATCAGACATATTATCACACTGTGATTTGCTTGTAAGTCCACTGCACACTGTTGAAAGCTCGAGGGTGTTGCCAACATCCTTTCAGAATTCCTTAGACTCTACTCAGGCTACTCATTAGTATCAGAAAATCAGCTAATAGTCACATTTAACTAGAGACCTTCCTTCCTTCTGCCTCCGATTAGACTTCATAGTATATTTTACATTGGCCCCAGGCTCCCTGACGCTTTCGAACCTTGGATCATTTTGAATACTCATGAAAACCACCCAACTCCCATATTTCGCACACACATACATCAAGTAATCCTGGATTCGGCTGGCGCAGAATCTCACAATCGCACGCAATAGCGCAAAAGTCTTCAACTCTATGTCCTGCTCCCACTCATACGTCGCCAGACAACAACAAGCAAGTGTCAGCAACTATGCACTACATACTTCTACACCAACTACCAAGATCTTTCCTTGTATCAAAGAACAATACCGATAATACTCCTCAATAATGTTCTCTCGAGGCTTGGGTACGGTGCATGGACTTTTTCTATTTGCATTGATAACAAAGACCTCTCTCCGTCGTTGTTGAAGATGGCAGACACTTTACACATATTCGATCAAACCCCAATGCCAATTTACCATCCTTTAAAATAAGAAAAGCACTTCTTTTTCCAGGCTTACAGCTTTATTGTATCAATTGAATGGAAGCTGACAACAGTGTTTATCTTAAAATTCCTTCATCATGAGTCAAAGGACCAAACTGACTTCTACTCACTGGCACAAGCAAGAAGAAACTACTCAGGGACTGTTTCCATCTGAAAGATTTGAATAAGCAAGGACTAGGCATGATATCTGTAAGTGCCATTTAATCTGTTGTTGCTTAACATTTTCTCACAAATTTATTCTTACACAGGAAAATACAATCTCACTCTTGATCATTGCCTCAATGGCATGTTTATTGTTCAAAGAACATATGTCAGCACCATATTTCTCACTAATATGTTATACATATGAATACACCATTCGACGAATACAGTAGCATCGCATCTTCGTGGCTTCCTGTTCTGGACCAGAAACATTATTGTTGGTGTTGACCATACCAGAACTGCATTTTTTTGTTACTCAGCCCCTGATTAGCCGAGTACTTAAAATGCTGGTCTCCTACTTCGAGGCCAAGTGAATGAATGTTCTGGATCAAGATTTTTAACTCTTCCACCACAGCTAGCCAGGTGATTCATACAACATTTTATTATGCAATATTCTTGACCAAAAGAAATTTGCAATCATCTACTGAATGATACACAATTAAGTTGTGGTCTGCTTCTGCTTTACTTTGCTAGTTACTAAACTATGATTTTTGTCTCAAATTTCCACTCAATCTGTACACATACTTCAAGTCCAACAGGGTACTCAACAATGAAAGCGTTGTGTTTGTTGAATCTACAATGTCAAATGCTCAAGTAAGAAGGGTTTACATTCAATGCCAAGTGGCTGCCCTATGGCTGAATTCTCAAGCTGTATCTTTATACCGATCCCCATGTCCTGTGTGTCAAGACAGCTCTATCGCTTGAAATTTCCAATCCAGCAAGTACTGGCAGCCCATACCCAGAACTTTCAAACTAGGAACATTTGTACCAGTTTCTTTTCTACTGCATGAGGTATGGCCCTCCAGCACATCAACAAGTACACCAGGCCAGTGCTTAATTGAGAGTAACTACTCATGTGCAGAGAAGCGCAGTCCTCATTCCAAGTACAACTACAAAAGAAGGGCACCAAATACGTTCGCCAATATCGTTGATGGACTTCTTGTATCGCTTGGCCTCATGCCCAAAGCCATTTTCAAAACCAGACACTAGCCCCCGTTATACAAATGGCAGATGTGATATAGAATACAGGGAAAATCGAATTCGGAAGGTCGAGGTGAACGATAATTCAGTAGGTTGTTACTCCCCCAGTGGTGTTGAAATAATTAATTACGCCATCCAGCCCTTCCAACCCATGCTCCAAACATTTTCCCCGTAAGTGGGGAGTGCTTACTCCGCCAAAGCTGCTCCGGCAATGCTACTCCGGGAATATTTTCCGCGGAGACTCTGCAAACGTAGGAACAGGAGCACAGGTTAAGTGCTGACATGCGTACAAGAGTCTTGCCGGCACATGTCATTGAATTGCATTGGGCTGGAAGCGTCTGGGGTTGATGCCATCGCCACGGATAAAAGTTTCGAAGGATGAGACCCCAGATTAGAAAACCATGTGGAGGGGATGTCCCCTTATATTAATGATGATCGATATAGCTTAGGAGAGTGTTCATGCAGACTGGCAGACCGGAGCTCTGGATAGATAGGGCTATTCGAGGCTATTCGAGGTTCTTCGAGGTTGTTTGAGTTGATATTCAGCCTTGATTCGGATGGTTTGCACAAATCTGGTAATATTATTGTTATGACTACGGTGAACTACAGGCCGGGCTACTCTCAAAGACTTTAGGTTTCAATAATTTGTTACTCTATGTTCAGTTTTGATAATTAGATGTTTGCCCCATGTATACCCCTTTTACAAGCTATGTACTGGTATGCCAATAAGGAAAGACTTATTATCAAGCTATTTCTTTCCATCACAAACCAAAAGAGGGAGTCAGCATCTGTACAAAATGGTTTGAAAATCTTTCCAAGTCTGGAAGACTGGAAGGATCTATTCGGTTACCGTAGCTATCAGCTGAATCACCTTATGAGCTGAATCACCTTATCGGGTAATGGATGACATCGATATGGATGCTCATTGACAAGTCTGAGATAAAGTTCGAAACACGGAGAGATCGTATTCGGACTATTCGGACTATTGTGATGAGAATTATTATTACATAGGCTATTTACACCTTTATATAATCTCGAAAAACTTTTCTTTCTGTTCATTATCTCAAAGAACTTTTTCTATACTTTACCTTTGACCTAAGGTTTCTTCCAATCAGAGCCACTGGATTCATAAACCACACGACTTTACCCGAATCCCATAATTACCTAACATCCACCTCGGTCTGGATCATAGATTCCACTCCATTTTACGCCACATTTTCACAGTTTATATCAACCTGATTGGCAATTCAACATCTTAAAACCCTTCACTTACGTACCAACATGTCTTTCTCTAGCCTTGTACAGGATTTATCATTCAGAGATGCTGCCAGTGAGCGACGACCACCGATTCGAGGTGCAGGATCCGTTTCGACCTATGATGATCGTGCATCTTATATCTCTAGAGCCGACTCCCACGTCTCTAGAGCCAGATCATATGCAAGCACAGCTGCGACAAGCGTGAGCATATCTGGAGATATTAGCAGTCAACTGCATGGTGGTTACAGCCATCCTTTGGCAAGATCATGGCAGGCTGAGAGACAATTGACTAAGGTAAGATTTACTTGGCTACGTACATACTTTTCAGCTTCTGACCGCGACCACAGTCAATGCTTATTTACCCCCTCTTCATTTCCGATATCGATGATGAAGAAACTCTTATTCCCTCCCTTCCTGATCAACACCGCCGAGGCATCAACAAAGTTGTCGCATTCTTAGAACCTCTCGTTCGTAAGGGTTTGAGATCAGTCATATTGTTCGGCGTACCAATTGCGCCCAATGCGAAGGATGCTCTCGGAACCTCCGCAGATGATCCACAAGGTCCTGTCATTGCTACAATTCGACTTCTCCGTCAGCGATTCCCACAACTCTTTATCGTGGCAGATGTATGCCTCTGCGAATACACTTCTCACGGACATTGCGGTATTCTACGGGACGATGGTAGTCTCAACAACCAGCTGTCGGTCGATCGTGTCTCGGATGTTGCGATCGCATATGCTCAAGCCGGTGCGCATTGTGTTGCACCATCGGATATGAACGATGGACGTATCCGTGCTATTAAGCTTAAGTTGATTGAGGAGGGTATCGCACACAAAGTCGTATTGATGTCATATGCTGCCAAGTTCTCTGGCTGCTTGTATGGACCATTCCGTGATGCAGCAGGTTCTGTTCCCTCATTCGGCGATCGAAAATGCTATCAACTACCCCCAGGAGGTCGTGGTCTTGCTCGCAGAGCCATTGAAAGAGATATTGGTGAAGGTGCCGACATTATCATGGTCAAGCCAGCAAGTCAATATCTTGATATCATCAGTGACGCGAAGGAGATCGGAAAGAACATGCCTATTGCAGCATATCAAGTTAGTGGAGAATTTGCTATGATTCATGCAGGAGCAAAAGCTGGTGTTTTTGACTTGAAGACAATGGCCCTTGAATCTTCGGAGGGCATCTTGAGAGCCGGTGCAACTATTATCGTCAGTTATTTCACACCACAGCTCCTTGATTGGCTTGAGTCATAGACGAGTCTCTATAGAGACTGGGAACGTTTGGAGCATTTGTCTAGGTTTATCAATGGCGTTTGGGAAATAATATAAATGAAGGAACTGGGAGATGGAGTTAGATAAAACTACTGTGAGAATACCATGAATTTAGGCTAGTAATACTACTATTAAGAACTTTACTTTACTGCTACTCATTGAATTCATATCCTGAACTAAACTTCCTACTTCTCTTCTGACTCAACTTTCAATTCATCATCAACCTTTTTCATATCAATCAATCAATCAATCACTTGGTGGGGTCCCCTTCTTTCTTGGCTGATCGATTGCGGGGCTCCTCGGTCGGCTAACATGGGTCCGGAGGGAAGGGCTGCGTTTGTACCCGTGGAAGCTTGCATTAATCACCTCGGGAAAGTTCGATAGATGTGAGTCAATCAAACGTTCAAAGAATACATATTCTCTTGATATAAGGTCTTCAAGTATACCTTGATACCCCATCCATTCGTTGCGTGAACCTTCGACAACCTTAATGATGAAGTGCTTTGTTCCCAGGCGCATTTCAGTTCGACCGGTATCATTTCTTGAAGACTGCGCATCTAATCCGAGCAAAACCTATCCTGCCACAACATATCGATTACGAGCTTCGGGGTCGATAAAGGAGATACGATATGCTTCATCAACCAAGTCTTCGAGGCCGAAAACTGCGTTGTTCTTTCCTGGTATGATTGCATGATTTGCGTATCTGTAGTTGTGTTGGTTCTATGTATATACTAACAAGCAAAAGGTCAAGGAGTTCAAAGAGTCGGCATGTTAACACCATGGCTCGAAGCATTTCCCTCGACCGCCGGACCTATCGTCCAAGAAATTGATGACCTGTTGGGTTACAAACTCTCGTCGATAATAGCCAATGGACCAAATAGCATCCTTACAGCTACCGGGAATGCACAACCTGCTATCATGGCTTCCTCGATCTTAATTCTACGAATACTCGAGCGCGAGTTCGGGTTCAAGACTCATGAACGAGTCGATTTTACATTGGGGCATTCGTTGGGAGAATTCGCTGCGTTAGTTGTGGGGGGTAATGTGGAGTTTGAGGATAGTTTATATCTAGTGCGCAAACGCGCCGAAGTCATGGCCGAATGTTCACGGCGGGCAAGCGAAGAACATGGAGGGGAATACGGAATGGTGGCTTTAGTTACCGAGCCTGATCACCTCGCTCCATTGATAGAAGCTATACACGAATTTCTCGGACATGATTCTGCAGGGTCGAAATCCGAGAGCGCGGAAGTTCCTCCGATACAACAGGTTTTGATCGCGAATATGAATAGTAAGAATCAGATTGTGTTGAGTGGGAATATTGGGAGGATCAAGGAATTGTTGACGCATGTTAGACAGTTTGGGGGTCACGATCCTAGGGCGGTGAGGTTGAAGAGTGATAGTCCTTTTCATAGTCCGTTGATGAGGCCGGCGGCGAAGGCTATGAGTAGGTTGTTGGAGGGGAAGAGTAGGGTGAAGGGGAAGGAGGATAAGGATTTATTGATATTTCCGGGGACGATGGATTGCATAAGTAATGTTAGTGCGAGGCCGTTTCGAAGTAAAGAGGAACTCAAGGATCTGTGGTCGAGAAGTTGTGTTGAGACGGTCAGATGGTGGGATTCGATCAAGTACTTGGATCAGGAGGAGAAAGTTAGGAGGTGGATTGGTATTGGACCGGGGAAGGTAGGGAGGAATTTGGTGGGGAAAGAAGTTGGGATGAGGGGAATGGATACTTTGAAAGGGGGTGGTGTTTGGGGTATTAGTGATCCCAAGGAAATTGAGGAGGCTTTGAAGGCTTTAGATGAGACTGAAACTCTTGGAGCAGAGGACTAAATCTACTTGGGTTCACACAGTTTGTGCTTTCTTTTCGGGGATAGACTGGGAGTAGGAAATGAATTGTGTCAATCTGTTAGATAAACAGTATCGAAAGAAGATCTCGTCTATCAAGAAAACTGAGTGAGCGTCTTTGCAGACCTTTTGGTAGGGAGGTGAATGATTACTCGAGTATAGATGAGCTCATGACGACACCACGAGGCTGAACTGTGGTTACTATAAATACCTTTTAGAAGTACTATATTTTATATATATATATAGTTTATTAAGTTGCCTCCGAAAGCTACTCATATGATTTTTCCGCGCAATGCAAAATATATACAAATTACCGCTTGTAAATACGTGGCGCAATCCTGAAAGCTATTTATTTCCGAAAGCTTTTAGGTAGTTTGCTGTCTGTCGCGACAATCACAGCCTTGTGAGATTCCTCAGCAGACCACTATCATCATCATCATCGATCGCATCGCATACCATTACCAATTCGCACCCTAGAACCTAGAACCTAGAACCTAGAAATATTATTTAACATTCTTGTTGAATTGAAGAAAAAGTTAAGGGTTTACCATCATGACTACTATTCCTTCGATTGCCTGTCTGGGTGTAATAGGCAAAAATGTTCGTTATTCAATACTGTCGTCCCTCTATCTATTTCCTTTCCCTCCTTATATCTCCAACTCCACACACCTCATAAGCTAACATAAACCCACAGAACAACCCCCTCCACATATCCATCTTCCCACCCCATTCACCACCCTACCCAACATCCTCTTCCTCCTCCCACCCCCCAAACCCCAATTCCACCTCCCTCTCCCCCTCCAAAACCACACTCCCAATCCACGACTCCCTCCGCACCCCTCTTCAATACTCGCTCCTACTAAGCTCTACACTCGATATCTTTGATGCGCGCAGCAGGACGAGTTCTACGGGGCAGAATTTGACGGGGGATCTAGGGTTATTGTATGCGGTTGATGAGCGGTTGGCGGCGTATGGGTTTGAGACGAATACGGGGGTGCGGTTTGTGGTTTTTGTGGATGGGAGGGGGAGGGGGGTTAGGGGTGGTGGGAATGGTGGGGGAGGAGGAGGAGGAGGGGGAAATGGGGGGAATGGGAATGGGAATGGGGAAGGGGGAGGGGGAGGGGGTGCGAATAATGGGACGGGGGGTGGAGGGGTTAGGGAGGGGGATGTGAGGAGTGTGAGTATTCTTTTATGGTGTTTTGTTTCTGTATCATGGGGATATTGGAGATAGTGAGAGGGAGAAGGAGAGCAACAGCAACGGAAAGCTAATAACAAACAACAACCAACAGATATTCAAAGCAATGCAAGCAGCCTACATACGACTCCTACAAAACCCCTTCTACGATCCCGACGAACATAGTCCTATGAATGGCAAGGGCGGGAAGAAAATTGTGAGTAGGAGATTCGTGGAGGATATGAGGAGGATTGGGGAGGGCTGGGTTCCGGGGAGTGGGTGAGGATGATGTTTGGTGTTTGAGATGGATGGAGGCAGATGGGTGGGAGATGCGAGATTTAAAGGGGGGAAAGGGGGGTTATGGCGACGGCGGATGGAAATGAGATTGTGGATGGATATGGATATGGATATGGATATGGATACTGCGGTATCTTGTGTGGTCGAGAGGATTAGATTGCATCTTTATAATACGCATACGCATACGCACACCCATCCACACGCAGACACAGATACGGAAAGAGATATGAGATAGTAGGGAGGTAGGCTGCAGAGGATGATATACGGATCGAGACTCGAGAGATAATCAATTAATAGCATAGGAACCAAATTAAAGCCTGGAGTTTGTCACTTGGAGCGTGTATATATATCGAGGTAATTAGCATACATACATGGAGTTTAGGGGTCATGATAAGATCGCTAGTGGGTATGAGATAAATTTATACCTATACCTATACCTATACCTATACCTATATCTAGAAATTTTCTTATGGAAGAAGAGGTGCTCCATGCTCCGTGCTCCAAGTTCATGATGAAAGCTCTCTTCTGCCTTGCTGCTTTGTTCTTTGATTTGATTTGATTATTCGCATGTATTTTTGGTGGTGTGAGTGCTGTGCAAGTGCTGTGCTCGGTTTGTATGGGATATGTTTTGAAGAGTTTTTGTATGGGATAAGGGATATGGATTATATTTATGATGATCTAGGTATCTGAAGACGAGATGACGAGAAGACGAGGGTAAGTAGTAAAGTAAGTAGACTGCATTGTATTCTGTATTAGTTCACATATCATATACGTATCATATACATAACATATCATACATTTTCGCTATTACCGTCTGCATACAACAGCTGAGAGTGTTATATAAAGGGTCTATCCATCTTCATATTCAGGTTTGAAAATATCAGATGTTAGATGAAATCAGTCATCCCATCCCATCACACCATCCATCACAGTACATATTCATCATACATATTCATCATATAATAATCATTAAACACCACACCAATATAAACATCAACATCAACCCTAAACAATCAGATCAAAGTTGTACATATACACATACACAACACCATCATCCACATTATCCAGCACCTGGAATCCCATTCCTCTCCATCTATCATTCCTATTATCCTTGCTATTCTCCAACACTCTCCTCTATTCTCCTATCTCATACCAACCAACCAACCAACCAACCATTCTATTTTACTTTCTCTCCCTTTTCTTTTCATTTTATTTCGCATATCTCTTTTGAATATCAACTATCTTCCACCCACATCATATCACTACCCTTTTCTTTTCTTTCTCCCTTTTCTTTCCTAGAAAGACACACATTACTCGACCAGATAGTATACTACTTCACAAGAAAGGCGTTTCGTTTCGTTTTATTTCCAATAGTATAGCATATCATGCTAAAGTAAAGTCAAGCGCGTGCATGAAGCAGGAAAAGCAAGAAAGGAAGAATGAAAGGAAGAGGAAGGGAAATCTGCAGCCGCACCTCCACTCCGGTAGAGAAACAGTAAAGTAAAGTAAAATAAGTAGTACTATACCTATACCTATACCTATACCTATACCGGTATAGCAACCCCCCTCCCCCTCAAAGCAAAAGAAAAGAAAAGAAAACTGACAGCTATACATAATACCTTACTTATCTACGAGTAGTAATAATAAATCTCGAACGACGATTAATTATTCAATTGTCGTTGTACTTGTGTCTATAATCTCAGTTCGAGTTGGTGCAGATACGGCTGGGCTAGTATTGCTATTGATATTTGCTTATATGATTATGTTCGGGATATACAAAAAGGGATTTGGAGGGAGTATGGGTAAGCTGGGTAATGAATGGCTGGTTTGGCTAAGTCTGGGAGGTGTGTGAATATGTATATGTATATATGTATAGTAGTAATCGTTAGCACAACTGCGGGGTGAGGTGAGTTGGGTTCCACGCCAGCGTCATTCCTATGATATTTCCAGAAGAGTGCATGCGGTAATCTTCCTCATTGCACTTTTTACTAACAACAAAATAGATGGCCGTTTTGTTTTAGACCCAACCACCACACCATACCATACACTCGATAAAGAATACTCAATACACTTGTAAATATACTAGAAACATAACATAAAAAACGTTCATGGAATACACTTGTTCAATATGGCTTCGTCCAATTCCTTTGTATACTACAGTATATGCACCAGTGGACGAACGTTTTGCCGAAGAGAGGTAAAAATGTGTCCATGATCTCGCTGCTCTCTTATCTCAAGAGCTGTGTCATTTTCGATAGCCTCTATACCTACCTACGTACCTACTTCGCCAAATGTACAGCCGTACCCGGATGATTTTAAGCGAGAGGGGCTCTAAAGAAGGATGACTTTGGTAGAGGCGGATAAAAAATGTGGATGTTGGAATGAGGGCAGGTAATTGGCGACTACCATATAGGATGGCGGACTCTCACCACTTGGGAAGTATCTTGTGCAAATGTACTTGGACACCAGCGGAACAATTACAGATTTGAAGTTTTGGCATAGAGAAACCATACACAATTTCAAAACTTGACATCATAGCACACTTTTCTTGAGTTGCCTTGTGAATCTTGTAATGCATTGCCATCCCTAACTTGAGCCATAGTCGTAACACTAGCCGCCATCGCCAACACACCAAACGCCTTAGAATAACTGAAGCAAGCAAACAACTTTCAATGTGCTTTCAACCATGCCAAGATTTGATCGTATGCCTCAGCTTGTGCCTGCTTAATATTCAATTGCTCGTAGTCACCCACTACCGCAAATCCATGAGGAACGCCTGAATATATCTTGAATTCGTGTTCCACGTTGTTCTCAGTCAAGTATGTTTTGCCGACCTCTTGGACTTCATCGGAGAACAATTGATCGTCCTCGACACAAATAAATGCCAGTGGGGCTTTCGTTCCCTCCCAATCTTCCTTGCCAACTAGTGTTGCGTGAGCGATTGCACCGGCCTTGATGTATGGCCCTTTCCTTTGAACGGCCGCTTCCTCATCTTTTACTTGTTGCTGACCCCAGTGAACAGCATCTGACTTTTCGCCTGCAAGTAATAGAGTCATCCTCCCACCTAAACAGTAACCAACAGAATATATTCCACCGCCATTTGCAACAGCGTCTGCGAACTCGTCCTTTGCGGCTTCTATAACTTTGTGGATAACCGGTAAGATCTTCTCGGGTGTTTGTCTTGCGAGCCACATATCTGCTAAGAAGCTCTTTGCTGTCTCTGCTGCATGCATCTTCAACTTTTCAATCAAAGAAGGATCCTTATCTTCCGCATAAGTTACCGATCCAGGTAATGGGTCGTTGCGAAACATATCGGGCATGATTACGAGGAAGCCTTCGCCAGCGAATTTATCGGCTTGAACTTGATTGTTAACTGAATGCATACCTGTGGCGCCAGTAAGAAGAAGTAAGAGTTTCGATGGCGCATGAGGATAGTCGCTCGGTTTCGAAATGTAAACATCGACTCCTCCAAGTTGTGTAATTTCTCCAGATGAACCTTGGCCAGAGGCTATTTCCGTTAGTAATTGATGTCTTCGTCATCGAGGATTTGCAGATTCGACGAGCAAGAGTACTAACGTGTAGGCCTATCCTTTACACAATGCTCCTTGTAAAAAGTCAGTAATGCTCTTCCCATTCATGTCTCAACGACGAACACCTAAACTCGCACCACTTTGCGCTGGTGTATCTCCTGGTATTGGGCTTGCGACTTGAGGAACCTCCTTTGATTCTTCCATGGCATCACTCTCTGGAGCTCTGGTAGCAATTTCGTCGGCCATATTGTATGTATTTTTGAGGTATTCGTAGGATAATTTTGCTTTGTTAACAGGGGAAACTAGGAACTAGGAAGCTGAATTGGTTGTCTTGTATTAGAACATTGGACTAAGCTTGGCAGCGGGAGGGCACGTGAAGAGGGGCGGTACAAGCCGCAAGGGCGGGGTGGCTTTAGCTCATTGTGACATAATCAGGCTAGCCCAGCGAAGCACGTCCCAAGACGCGTGAAATAAATCAATTTACACGAACCGCGACTTCATCTTCAGATACGAAAAGTTGATAAGTCAATAAAACAAAACAATCATATATTTTCAATACACCACATAAACGGACAAATTCGTTCATAATCATGGAGGTCGCAAAAGCTCAAATCACTCAAGGTGCCTTGAAGTAAGTATCTGCAGCCTCTTAAACCATCTTCTCATGCTAATCGTTGGATAGTGCAATCTTCAATGACTCTGATCGTGTTATGAAAGATTTCCCGGTACCAGTATGTCAGGTAGTACAAGTCAAGCCAATGGGATCTGGAGGAGAAGGACAGGCCGAAAGATTCAGACTCGTCGTGAGCGACGTTCAGAACTTCGTACAGTGCATGCTTGCCACTCGTAGGTAGCACTCTTTACTTCTATGTAGCCAGACTACACGACGAGAACGATTTGACTGACGGCATTTTAGAGGCAAATCATGTAATACATGACGGACACCTAACTAAAGGCTGCTTCATTCGGCTGAAGAATTATCAGGCAAATGAAGTGAAAGGCAAAAGGTTAGTAGACTCAAATGCCCTACAAGGAGATCGTTGCCTAATTTCTTACTAGAATCCTGATTATTCTTGACATTGATGTCATCGAAAGCTTGGGAGTAATGGACAAGATTGGAGAGCCAACTGCGGTGAAGGTCGAAGAAGATGTTAAACCAGTCAATACTACAATTGCCGGAGGTGGCTTCTACGGAAACAAACCTCAACCCCAACAACCCGCCGCTCAGGATCGTGCGCTCCCATCCCGTGCCGGACCCTCTAGCTCATCATCTCACGCCACCATATATCCTATTGAGTCGTTATCACCATACGCTCACAAATGGACCATCAAAGCACGAGTTACAAGCAAGTCCGATATCAAAACATGGCACAAACAAACTAGTGAGGGCAAGCTCTTCAGCGTCAATCTTCTAGATGAGAGTGGCGAGATCAAGGCCACTGGTTTCAACGAACAGTGCGATGCTTTGTATGAGCTTTTCCAGGAAGGCAACGTTTATTATATTACAAGTCCCTGTCGTGTTTCAATTGCGAAGAGACAATTTTCCAACATAAATAATGACTACGAACTCGTGTTCGAACGAGATACTTTGGTAGAGAAAGCCGAAGACCAGAATAGTGTCCCTCAAGTGCGTTATAATTTTTCCAACATTGGAGATCTACAAAATATCGAAAAAGACAGCACGGTCGATGTCATCGCCGTGCTCAAGGAAGTTGGAGAAACCTCAGAAATTATCTCAAAGTCAACGCAAAAACCTTACAGTAAGAGAGAGTTGACATTGGTTGATGATACTGGGTATTCTGTCCGATTGACTATATGGGGCAAGACGGCAACCTCTTTTGATTCCAGCCCGGAGTCGGTCGTAGCTTTTAAGGGCGTCAAAGTTTCCGATTTCGGTGGCAGAAGTTTAAGTTTACTATCCTCCGGCTCTATGTCCTTCGACCCGGACATTCAAGAAGCCTATAAGCTCAAGGGATGGTACGATTCCCAAGGTCGCACACAAAACTTCGCCTCCCAAGGCAACATGGCCAGTGCCGGAGCAGCAGGTGGCCGCCAAGATCCTTTCAAGACCGTCGAACAAGTCACACGAGAAGGTCTTGGGATGTCTGAGGAGAGTCCAGATTATTTCTCCACGAGAGCCACTATCGTCTACATCAAACAAGACAACTTCTGCTACCCCTCCTGTACCAACGAAACTTGCAGTAGGAAAGTCATTGACCAGAACGATGGCACATGGCGCTGCGAGAAATGTAATCAAAATCACCCCAAACCAGCATATCGCTATATTCTATCCCTCAACGTCAACGATCATACCGGTCAGCTGTGGCTAACGGCGTTTGATGATGTGGGACGACTCATCCTAGGAAAGGATGCGGATGAGATGATGGAGTTGAAGGAAAACGATCAGGCGGCCATGGAGAAGATATTCGAAGAAGCTAATTGCAAGATGATGGCGTTCAAGTGCAGAGCGAAAAGTCAAGTTTACCAAGAGCAATCAAAGTATGATACCTTCCAGGAACCTTCTCCCACAATATGTTTTATAAATGAGATACTGACTATGACCACAGGGTTCGATATCAAGTCACGCAAGCTACGCCTGTGAACTTTGGTGCGGATGCTTTGAAGTTAGCAGAGTTGATCAAGGCGTATAATATTGATTAGATGTACATTGCTTTGCATGTGGGTATTGTGATCTGGATTCTAGATGGGTTATTGAGGTAGCGGTAGTGGTAGGTGGAGGTAGAACACTTTTGATAAATAAGTAGATTAACATGATGACGAAGGTACTTGATACTATTAGGCGTTTGGTGGTTATTACTCATGTTCAATATCACGACAAATATTGTATGAAAAGTTATGAAAAGTACGGCCAAAAATAATACACATTTGCTTGCTTGTTCTTTCATTCATATCCTCGTTTTCTCTATTTCATAGAATCATTCCTGTCATATCTTCATAAGACGCCCATACGCCACTGCTTTCGATTTCTTCGAAAGGCTTTACTGTGTATCACAACCATGCATTGCGTGAAAGCAAACCTCGCCTGACTTTTCACGATTTATCCATACCGTGTGTTCCTAAGACCAAAGCCCCCCCTTTCGTCTTGAGCCACTCACTGACTGATCCCGCCATGGTTAAACTCAATACATCTCCGTCATTAAATCCTCGTCCTCAGTTGCAGCATTCCAGTCCATGACCTCCCCTGATGTACCAGCAGCCTTCGTCTTCAACTTAGCCCTCACAGCACTGTCAATATATCGCTTATCATGTGTCAATATCCTATCTGTGATTTTAATTTGCTTGGCTAAATATTGGATACGTTGAGTCGATGCCACTAATTCTTTTTGAACCTGGGCTTCTGAAAGGGCACGTCCGGCTGGTGAGAATGTCAGAACTGCCTGTCCAGATTGATCGCGAATCATGGTTGCAGGTAAGGTACCGTCGGCGATCATGCTTTGCAGAAGATCTTCAATTTGTTTGATTGAAGTCAACTTTGCGCCTGTTTCTGCACTCGTCGTGAGGCTCATAATGTCCGCAGCTCCAATCTTCGAATAGACATCGGCGAGATGACGTATTTGAAATTTTTGATAGGCGCTTAGGACATGGAGCATTAGGCCGACATTGGCATCATCGGTCCAAACTCCTTGGCCGTACTCAATCTCGCTCTTTAGTCTAGAAGCTGTTCCAGTTTCAAAAATACCGGCAACAGCTTCGTATGGTTTCGCAATAACATGGTATACTTTGGCGGCAGAAGAAGAGGTAGTTTTTGGGAGCTGGAGAACCTTTCCATATTGGAGGAGTCCAACCAGTAACCATTTTTTATATGCTTCAACCATAACAAGACTCACACCACCTTCAATTACTGGGTATGTTATAGCATTCTCCAACATATCTAATGCAGCTTCCCATCTTTGTAAGCCAATGTAGATTGATCCGCTAAAAAAGAAGTACTCTAGAACTTCGAGGGGCTTCAGTTTAGAAGATAAGCTCGATTTAATAGTGACATAGGAATGTGCTGGCAAGTCGACTTCGCAAGGAAACTTTGTGTATGATACTGGAGATATAGCAGGTATGTAAAGGACAGGTTTGTCAATAAGTTCAGTGACGCCATCGAAATATCGTGTTTGGAGAGCCAATCGAACAAGATACAAATGATTTGAGGTAAGGACTGAGCCTGAAGGATCGATTCGAAGTACAGCTTCTCGGATTGGTGGGATGGCGGCGCCTGGCTATATTGGCTTTAGTATTACTTGCATGATCTGGAGTGTAATTTACCCACCTGGCGATTTTGCGAAGCAAATGAAGCTACAAAGCTGATAACTTTAAATAGCTCGTCACCAAGATATCGAATCTGCCTTCCATCGAAAGTATGTAAGAAACCTGCCGCCTTATCCCATAATTCGTCGTAGTTGAGGTTCCTCTCGTTCTTATTAGCAGCTGCAGCGATATGAGCATTCAAAAGGTAGATGTATGAAACTGTGTTCAATGAGGGGTTAATGACCTGTTTCAAATGTATTAGCTCATGACCAATTATATTGTCAAGACCACTGCTCACATCTAAAGGATTTTCACCACCGGAGGTGGATTGTAACAAAGTCTTTTCCGGCGTCTTCTTTAAAATGTCGATTTGTGATGTAATACCGTCATCATATTGTGACTCCGAAAGAGGTACCAAGGGCGCTGGATGAGGGGGAAATAAAAGCATGCGGGGGAGGTAATCATCCATCTTGAGAGTAGAAGTATGCGATTAGGCAATGCGCGTTTGCTTTCGTAGTCGATCGATTAAATACGCAGCTCTTGTGAGCTCGAGCCGGTCTCAGATGATTTTCCACGCAAAATAGAGTGGACAATCTGAAAGTTAACTCCAGAAACGCCAAAGATACTAGGTAGCTTCGAAGGACTGCGTTAGAAGTCTCAACGCTATCGCTAGTAAGTTGAATGAGAGAACGAAGATGCAATAAACCTGTGATGTTGCCTTGGAGCTCCCAGTTGTATACGCTAGCGGCCGTCTATTCCGATCGCGATCACGTGGTATCAAACTTTACAGAAATCAGTCATCGAATCAAGTTGGCACAAAGGCATTCTTCATTCATTCGATACTTTTCAATAATTTTTCCTGGTGAATTCAAATCACACTCTAGCCTTCTTAACAAAGGCGTACTGGTCGGGATTTTTCTTCCGCCATTCTAGAATCACTCTCGAGTTTCTTTACTCGAAATCCTTCAGTCCCCATGTCTCTCACAAACGCAACCCCAGCAGAAGCTGCAAGCGGGGCCAAGACTGCTTCTCACATTCTGGCTACACTGCCAACAGCCTCAAGAAATTCAGCTCTGACTGCTATTCATGATGCGCTTTTGCAAAATAAAGAAGACATACTGGCCGCTAATGCTCGAGATCTCGAATTGGCTGAAAAGGAAGCCGAAGGTGGTCGTTTGAGCTTAAGTTTAGTATCAAGATTGGATCTGGGCAAAAAAGGAAAATGGGAGGATATGTTAAAGGGAATCTTGGATGTCAGAGATCTTGAAGATCCTGGTAATGTAGCTTGCTCTTGATATAATGAACATGTGCTAATCGCTTCGTACAGTTGGAAAGGTGACATTACGAACACGGCTTGATGATGGTCTAGACCTTGAGAGAGTGTCGTGCCCCATTGGAGTACTTCTAATCATTTTTGAAGCACGTCCTGAAGTCATTGCCAATATTGCCTCGTTGGCAATCAAATCCGGAAATTCTGCCATCTTGAAAGGTGGGACAAACTACGGTTTTACTTTTTAACACGAGAGCTAATATCTTGCAGGTGGCAAAGAGTCTACTGAGTCTTTCATTGCTATTTCCACGGTTATCTCAGCAGCTTTGCAGTCGACAGAAGTTCCGGCAGCTGCGATACAATTAGTCACCACCAGGGATGTGATCCCTCAACTGTTGGCATTGGATCAATACATCGATCTCGTTATTCCAAGAGGCTCAAATGAATTGGTCAGGTATATCAAGGATAATACCAAGATTCCAGTCATGGGCCACGCAGATGGTCTCTGTTCAATATATCTTGAGAAATCTGCTGATCCGGCAATGGCGACAAGAGTTATTGTTGATTCGAAAACTTCATATCCAGCAGCATGTAATAGCGTGGAGACTTTGCTTGTCGAGCAAGCTGCTCTCGAGACAGTTCTCCCACAAGTTGCGCAAGCACTCTTAGAGAAGGGTGTCTCGTTACGATGCGATTCTTCAAGCAAAACAGCTCTCACATCAAGACTTCCTTCTCATCAAGGGCTTTTCCTCCAGGATGCAGTAGACAGTGATTTCGATACCGAGCATCTATCGCTTACTCTTGCTATCAAGACTGTTTCTAACCTCACCGAGGTCATCTCACATATCAACATTCATGGTTCCCACCACACCGATGTGATTCTTACCTCGTCCTCTGAACTCGCTGAGCGATTTATGGCTGGCGTGGACTCAGCAGGAGTCTTCTGGAATACTTCCAGTCGCATGGCTGATGGTATGCGCTTTGGCTTCGGTACCGAAGTAGGAATCTCAACAAACAAGATCCATGCACGAGGACCAGTTGGTTTAGAAGGTCTTATGATCTACAAATACAAAATTCGCGGCAATGGCCAAATGTCCGTCGAATATGGCGAGGGAGAGGGGCAAAAAAGGTTCAAGCATGAAGATCTCTCGATATAAGTTTTCTTATCGCATTATCATAAAGTATCATGTCGTCAATTGGCAAGCGCACGCCGTACATCTCTCTTGGCACATTAGCGTCGTCTTCAAATTTTTGTCATTGATACCTGAGACGTTTGATAAACTTGAGACGAGCCCGTATCCATGGATGCGATCCATTATCTCTTCGCCTCTTTAAACCTCCAAGAAATTGGCCCAAACATTGTTTCTCCATTTATCCTGTCACGGTATCAACTAACTATTACCTCTTGGCACGTCCATCGGTATTTCCTTCCCAAACCTCCCAACCTTGGCATTTATTCTCAATACAACCTTGCTTTCTCTAGGATCTCCTCGCAAGCTCTTATGCAACCTTGGTCCAAAGTTTTCCGAGTGGGTTATTACTTGGTGGATATGTTCTCGCTACGCATGTGCATGCTCCATAACTTAAAACGAACGACCCCTGAAGCCCCTTGACACATCCCATGTAACAAACTCATATCTCACCCAATAACACCCATTTATTGGGATGATGTTTTGATGTTTCCCATAACATTGTTCTACAGTGATCATTTTTCTATCTGCTCAATTGAGATATGTGAATCTGAAAATATGGGGATAGCAATCTGCTTGGCACTTGTAAAGCCTCGAACCTTTGTGGTCCCCTCACTTGGCATTTAAGCTCATGGCAGAAGATTTGTTTAAAATGTGAGCTTTGCCCGTGGACTTTGGAAGGCTACGGCCGGCCGCGGATTACTTCAGGAAAGAGTTCTACATATTTTTTATTCGACTAAGTTGTAATATTTTAAAAGAGGAGATTTTTATAAACAAAAAGTAGAGAAATCGCAAAGAAAATGTTGGTTTCTAATTTATTTATGACGGTGGCATGGGGGACGGTTGTTTCAGCAAGAGTGGTTGAGAAGAGTGATCGTGAGTAGTTCCAAATTTCCCGTTAATTCCAAATTGTCTTCGATGTATGCTTCCCGAGGCTTCTTAACCATCTTAACAATACAGCTGAAAGCTAACGATTTATTCCAGGCTCATTTCAGCGACCTATCAATGGCCCCTCTTCGCCTCGTCCGACACACTCACATCAATCCTGCATCTTTACGCCATCTCTCCCAATGCCACCTGTCTCCTTCACATCCACCCTTCCCTCCTCTCTGCACCACCATCTCCCCAATGTCCTCCTCTCCCATTCATTCTTCAACTCCAACCTCCCACCTTCCTCAAGCTCTACCACTCCTATCATATCGACCCTCTCCCTCTCCGAAGAAACCGGCGATGCCTCTCTTCAAGGCATCTTCGTCGGTCTTGTCTACACCTCCATCGGCAAATCTGTTTCCGAACCCCCTTCAAGCTCTCTCCCCAAACCCCAAGAATCCCAGCCAAAACCTTATCGTGCTCCTCCACCTCCACCTCCCACTTCCGCAGTTGATGATGAACAAGATGATTTTGATAAAACGTGGGGTCATGTCAATAATCATGAAGTTCGATCTCCCATTCTTTCAGTACCGCAATCGAGTCCAAGTATGGAGATGAGGAGGTGTTTTACGGAGGCGGTGGAGGGTGTTAGGGAGAGTGGGTTGGTGGAGGGGACGTTAGAGTTTCTTAAGGAGGGAGGGAGGATGAGATTTTTGGTTTGGAGGGTGGATTGAGTGTTGCGAATCAAAATGGATTTTGTTTGAGTAGTCTGATTATGATTGGAGGGCATGGCGAATGGATCTGGGACTGAAAAGGCGAATACGGAAGGGCTCCGACTATGGATTGGCGTTTGAACTTGATGTCATCGCTTGTATTCTGATATGTATGACATTTTATGGCGGGCATTTTATGGCGGGACGGGAGAGATGTGATGCCCATGTATATACACAAAGTACATATGATATATTCAACAACTGAGAGGAAACAAAAAATTCAGAGTCACGATTACATACGTCGACGTCGCATCAACCCCAATTTCTCATGTTTATGAAAGACATGTGCGTGCTAATTGGTGGATATTATATTTTTGCTGCTCCCAATCATAGCATCCTATCTACTCTCATCCCCTCACTCGTAGATACGCGAATAATATATTTCATCACAATCACTCTTGTTCACTCAAACCATTCTTCTATCTCAGTAGTGCTCGCCATAACCTCCGAATTCGGTTTTCTTTTCCGGCTCCGCGATCGAATTTGTTCGATTCATTTCATTTCATCGGAGAGAAATTTGAGCTGCCCTTATTTCATACAATTTTTGCTTCTGAAGTAAAAAATATTCGGACTTGTTCTCTTTGATGTATTTGTACTTGTATAAAAATGAAGTGAGAGATTGATGGGAAGGTAGGGAAGCGAATGCGTCCACTAACAACACTACATCAGGGTTAATTATTGATCGAAATGGCATTTAATAAACAGTTTATCGAAATAGATACAGTAAGATAACCCCCCTCTCACACCTACCACCTACTCGTCTAATTAGCAACTTGCAACTTCTAATTATCATTTTCCTAGCTGTCTTCTTAAATATTCTCAGCAATACCCACCAGTGGAATAATAAACTGTGAGGAATCTCCTAGAGGTTTACTCATATGGTTTGGGATAATTATGATTGTGAGAGAATGGGATGGGGTCTACTTATCAAAAACTCAGAATGTCTGTTCACTGTTCAGGAAGTTCTTAGAATTAATGACGAAATGCAAGACAGACGTGGTAACAATTGATGATAGAGTACATACCCAGAGAAGAGAAGAACAATGGATATACATATACCTTATTTTTATATCAAATAGACAACGGGTTCGGGTGTTTTTCCGCAATATATAATCCAGGAGTGTGAACCAGATATCCAATAATTCCAAAAAAAGTAGAGTGAAGAAAATAATACTAAATACTACTTACTGGTCGTCTCTCCTAAGATTCCTTCCTCGGTTGGTATGTATACCCCTTAGACTCTATTCCCACGCAAAAGAAATAGGTTTAATATACAAAATTTGACAAAAACCCTATAATTATGAGTAGCGTTTATCTTTTTCAAAAGAGAAAGAGCTGTCTTTACAGTGACCAAATGGACGGTGGGATCTGCAATATTTCTCTCCAAGATCGATACCGTGAGGGTTCAATGAAACGCTCGCTATCAATGACGCCAACTAAAATTGACATCAAAAATGTGCTTCTCCCTCTCAGATCGTCGTGCGTTATCCCAAGGACACAGCTATTTTGCAGATTTCATATTATTGTATTCTTCACATATATATCACAAAGCTCACACACGGGTAAAAGCTAAAACAAAAAAACAGGACATACAATTTTCTGTGTTTAATAATTTCACATTCAAATAAATAGTAAACAAAACTTTGGTGGGTAAAAACCTCTATTCATTTCCCTTTCATTGGAAAGGGGGGGTTTTTTTATTCATTCAAATTGAACAACAAGCAAAAGGACTTCCTCTCATCTATTGTTACTCGACTAACAAACCAATGGAAAGACTTCCTCTCATCTATTGTTACTCAACCAACAAGCCAGTGAAAAGACTTCCTCTCATCCGTTATTACTAATACTCAGCCAGCAAATCAGCGAAAAGACTTCTTCTCACCGACTGTTACAGTATATCATCTATGATATCTAATCATGAACCATAATCAAATCCTTACTCAACTGACACCCATCATCCGCAATCAAAAACTCCGCAACCTTCTCCCTTTCATCGCCCTGGAGCTGAATCACCTCACCCCAATGAACATCCGACACAATTGTTCCCGCACACCCTAACCTCTTCTGTAAGAATTGAACAATCCTTTTCTTGTCAAGTCTTTCGGGAAGTCCTTCGAGTGTTGTGATAACGTGGGGTCTGTACTTGCCTTCCTTGGTTATCTTGGTTGGTCCGCGGGTTTGCTGAATTCGGATGTGGATTATGTTAGCTGGTTTGACGTCTACTTCTCCTGCTTCGGCGAAGAAATCGATGGACTTGAGGTTCTTGATTTGGGATTGCATCTCGGTTTGAGATGATGTGTCTGTGGTAGTTGTGGTGTTTGCTTTCTCGGTTTGAGATGACATGTCTGTGGTAGCGGTTGTGTTTACTTTCTCTGTTTGAGACGAAGACATGTTTGCGGTAGTGTTGATGCTTTCTTGTGAAATAGTGCTGATGTGCTGTGAGTAATTAGTGGATTTTCTGTAGCTTGTTATGCTGTCCTGTGACGAACTTATGAATGACGAGAGTGTTTCTCGGGGGTCAGACAGCCTTTTTATATAGAGGACAAAGAAATCAGAACAACAATGTTATTGTTTTGGAGCTGTTTAGAACAACTATCTTATTGTTCAGATTGTCTTGTGTGTTGGTTTCTTGGTCTTGAATGCAAAAGCTGTGTCACGTACTCACCAAGAGCCACCACTAGCCTATTGTTCATATGACATATTGTTAACGTAGGTAAGGTCACTTTCCTCGTTGATATCCAAATAAGTTAAACGTTGAAGACCGCAACCTGCTGTTGATGGGATAAGGAAGTATTCCAGTTTATTTAATAGTCGTTTCCAAAACACTAACTAGATCATATATCGCAATTGAGCAGTGCTAAACAGGTTAGAAGTAGAAATTGCGACTAATAAATTGATCTCAAACTTAAAGCCTCTTTTCTATATCTCTCTCTAATTTCCAAGTTTCTCCATTTTCTCTCTTCATTTATCACGCTTAATTTATTCTCTACCCTTGTCTTGTCTTGTCCAGTCTATATCTTTAACTTCCAGTCTTCCAGCATTCTAAAGTCCAACACTTCCCTCCCTTCACCCCTCCCTTTACCTTCACTCTTCACTCTTGTGTTTACCTCTAGACTTTCCAAATCCATTCTCTACTCTTGTCTTGTCCAGTCCATATCTTTAACTTCCAGTCTTCCAGCATTCTAAAGTCCAACACTTCCCTTCCTTCACCCCTCCCTTCACCTTCACTCTTCACTCTTCACTCTTGTGCCTACTAGGTACATCTACATCTAGACTTCTCCAAGAATATTAGCTCCTAAAGTGATCCAACCTTTCATATAAACTACCTACTTACTATATAATTATTCATCTATTCCATCTACTCCATCTACATCACAAAATTTTCACTTCACTTCCCTTCCTTTCCTTTCCATACCACCTGCTCCATTTCCCCATTTCCCCCATACAACATTCTAATTAGTAATTCTATAAACCCCCTACGGCCCCGGGCCCAGCAAAGACGAAGCAAAACAAAGCAAAGAGAAGCAAAGCAAAGCAAATGAAAAGAAAGCATAACCGAAAAAATCATCGATCAATCCAGGAGGTAGATCTGGAACCATTAAGTTCCCAGCCAGCCGAACCATGGAAAGCCGACTATTAGTACAAACTTTGTATATCTATCTATCTACCAGTATACACTTGCACTTGCATATAGTATCAAAATCAAAGATTTTTCTTGTAGCGCAAGAACTTCTTTCCATATAGCAAGCAAGACTTCTTTTCCATATAATATATAATATAGCAAGCTCCCATTTCTTCTCGCTTCAAGACCTAAACGAAAAAGAATGATTTCATAAATTCATAAATTCATAATAATGCTATGCCATGCCATGCCATACCATCAACTAAGTCACTCAAATAATACAATACAACACAACACAACACAACACGTGTTAACGACAACAACAACAACAATAATGATTCCCGAAAAATGAACTGGACAAGTGCTATGCTATACTATGCTATGCTATGCCATGCTATTCTTGGTACTTACAACTTGTTTATCTTTCTAGACCGCTATCAAGTTTCTTAAAAAGTTAAAAGTCCTTAAAGCAAAGTATACAAAACATTTAATACCTTACCTTTTCTTTCCTTTCTTTACCTTCCATTAATATTACATTACTTGAATAGATAGCTTTAAATTCTTATTCATCTAGAAAAATCTAACCCTTTATAGCTATTTAGCTATCTAACCAGCTATCTCCCATCCATATAAATACCTAGTAGCTACACTGTAGCCTACAGCCTACAAATATATCAATCAAGCCACTCATTCCCCACTCATTCCATCCCATCCCATCCCAATCCAATCCATTTTTATCTATCTACTCACTCTACTCACTCTACTCACTCTATCTATCTATCTATCTCTCACCCCTCACCCCTCACCCCTCAATAAATTCATAATCTTTTGTATTCTACTATATCTTTCTATCCATCCATCTATCTATCCATCTACTCTCAGTATACCCATAAAACTAAAACTAAAACTAAAAACTAAAACTAAAACAAGAACAAAGAACAAAGAACAGAATCTGAATCTGAATCTATTTATTAAAACTAGAACTATCTATCTCTATAACTATCTTTATCTATCTCTATATCTGAAGTAAGATCATGATTGATAAATTTATTGGATATTTTTTTTTTAATTATTTAATTATTTCGTTATTTCGTTATAACAACAGATTTACTCATACAGACATACAGTATTATATACCAATCTTCGATCTTTATTCCTCAATTCTTATCTTTTACCTTTCACCCCTCATCTCTCACCCCTCACCCCTCAACTACAACACCACACCACCTCCCTCCCTCACCAGAAGAAAGAAATATTCTCCTCCACCCTCTCCACCCTCCCCCCCACTCCTTCTACTCCTCCCCTCTCCACGCACCTCTCCACACACCTTTCCTCACATATTCTATTCCCCCTCTTTATTATCTCCCTCCTTTCCACCCTCTCCCCAACTCCTCCCCTCACCACCTACATTCTATTCCCCCTCTCCATCCTCTCCATCCTCCTCGATTCCCTACAACTAACCATTAACATCACCATCAACATCACATCCCTCATCATACCAGACCTCATCATTCACCATCACCATTACCATTACCACCAATCACCATTACCACCAATCACCATCAACATCAATCACCATCACCATCAAAAATCCATCCAACCCATCCCACCCCATCCCATCTTATCAAACACTACACATATCAAACACATATACATGTCAAAACACTCATTCATCAAACAACATATATCAAAACAACCGCTTTTAAATTTTTGTATCTTATCTTATTTGAAATAATAGCCCAACCGATTCCATTCCATTCCATCCATCCATCCATTCCAACCATCCATCTTCATCATAAAGTCATTCATCCATCCATTCCCATCAAGTCCCATCATCAAATGAGTTACATCAAACATTTAAGCTTTAAGCAACCACAGCCAACTGCAACCATATCAACTAACCATCACATCCATCACAACCATCAAATATGTCCCATTTCCCACCATACCATACCATACCACCACATTCCTCCCGTTCCTCCCATTCCATTCCATCCCACCTCCATCCATCCACAAATTTCCAAAAGAAACCAGCACCAGCACCAGCAATAGCAACAACTAACAAGATCAAAAGAAAAAAGAAATTTGGTCATAAGTCATCATAAAATTGTGTAGTAATAAAGCCCTGGCTAGAGAGCTTAAAGAAATCAAAAGGTAGAAGAGAATGGAGAAAGATTGAAAACATTAAACAAAAAATCTTGTGTTCCTGCTCAAGTGATCCCAGTTTTCCCTTTCTCTACCCATCCTTCCCGACATCATAAATGAAAACATTGAGACAGGTTCTCGTGCTGTGAAAGTCCGAGGGAGAGAAAATATTTGGCCCATTCATTATTTTGGTCATTCATCTGAACAAAAACAAATCATTTTAAGCCTTTCCCATAAACGAAAAAACACAAAAAGCCAAATCCCAAATATTTCGTGTCGACGCCTAGAGTGTCATTAATAGGCGCGTTTCGTTTTTTTGTTCTCGAGTGTAAAAAGAAAACCCCAAAGTAGTAAATAATGCCGCTTTGCATGTGCACATGTATCTTTGGGATCATTTCTCAACAGATTATTTCCTTTCCCATGTTACAAAGCGTAAATTCGTCAGGCCGTATCGATGATCCATATCAGGATCATCTAAGAATTTCAGTCATAAATTCATCGTCATTCCAATTTCGAATCATCTGCCGGATCTATGTTCGGCGAATACAAAGACAATCGTGAAGATAAAAAAGTAAAAGAAAACTTCTTTCAAAGAGTGTGCTTGTGATTGTCGAGAATGCTTTTGTGGCGCGAGCCAAGAATGAAAAAGACAGTTGATCATGATTTAGAGAAACCAGATCACCGGAAGAAAGTGCAAAAGGATGCGAACAAAGTCATCGATCCGAGTTACCGGCGTCGCTGTGCAATGGTAGATTGAGCTCGGTTCAGCCCAGGGTTGTAAGATGGTCCAGAAACGGATCCCTCGCGGATCGTTTTCCGTCTCTTTAAGCCATCAGCATCAGCCATTCCAGGACCTCTGCTAGATGGTCGACCATCATCATCATCATCTCTGCCACGTTTGTTATTTGCAGGCGCCCCATTCATGATATTTTGCTGACTAGCATAACCGTTAGACATTGAAGATACAATGTCTGACTGTGGCGCATACACGTCACCACTTGTGCTGCCATTAGCTGTCCCACGTTCCTGACTGACTACATTAAACAAATTACTCGAAGGTGGTTGAATTCTCGGAGGGGTACTGTAGCCACCTTGCTGTTGAGCATAGTATGACTGAGGTGCTGACGCTGTTCTAGGAGTTGCTCGGCCAGAAGCTGGATGATTTGGTGAGCCGGTCATCTCGGGTGACAAGTGAGTATGTTCACCTGTGATCGATCCGACGGCTGGGCCGTTTGAGTAATTATATGGCCGACGACTTGAATCATAGTTATTCTGGCTATCATGAGTGTATTCACCACCATCTTGTTCCTGATCATGTTCTTCTTCAACTTGACCATTTCCGTGGTGATGGATCATTCCATTAGTATCCTTGGGCTCATGATGTTGCGGCTCAACATCTGGTGCTCTCGCTAACGGTGGACCCATTTCATTCTTGATGTATGCGTTTGGCTGTTGCGAGTATTGAGGCATACTTTGTTGAGGAGGTGGGGCCTGTGCGTATGCGTTCTGAGGCGGAGGTGCTTGGGAATACATCTGTCTCGAGTCGTAAGGTTGCTGATTCTGTTGATACTGTTGCATCGATTGAACCGAAGTTCCAGGAGGTGTGGTGGCTGGCGTGGTTGGCATTGAGCGAGCATTACTCAATCCAGTGTCAATTGACAAGGGATTGGCACCTTGAACGTTGCCCATGGGTTGTCCAGGCCACTGGAAGTTGGCATTAGGATTATCCATATTACCCATAACACCAGATGCACTCGTGGGAGGGGTAGGGAATGTGTGTGATCTTTCGAGAGCAGGACGGCCAACATTTGGATGAGGCGCGAGGGAATGCTGCGGACCTGAGAGAGGAGCGCCAATTGAGTTAGTCATGGAGTGATGGTGGTGTTGGTGTAATGAAGGCAAACCAGGTGCTTGCGGATTTCGCATTTGGTTTTGCTCATTCTTTCGTCGTTCTGCGGCTGCCATTACTGCATTCGTCCGTGTCTGGTTCGTTGGATGGTATAAGAGAGCGCCAATATTGTGAACAAATAGTGGATACAATAATTCCGTAATTTTTTCCTTGTTCGCGAAATCCAATGCACGCTCAAAAGGAATCCTGAATTTTGGTCAGATATGCACATGCACAGATAATTTCCAAATGTTGCTTACCAAACGCCCTTCAAATGCATGGGGCCAATCTTCACCACATGTCTCATTTTCTCACTCTTCAAAATGCCGTCTCGTCGACCACGGGTCATGCCCGCAACATTCAATAATTTAGTGCCGTTAATCATGTGATTATCTTACTGGTTAGCGTACTTTGATAAGCGGGAAAGAGCTACGCTTACCTTCACGTCTAGCCACACAAACACTCTTTGCCTCAACTTGAAAGCACAGACTGCCCTCATCTTCCCACAGAGTTGCTGTCACCCTGGGCTTCATGCCTGGAGGTGCAACTTGGCCCGTTTGATCAAATTGTTGTGGGCCGCCATAACCTTGATTTGGCATACCAGGCTGAGTGGTCATTGCTGGAAGTGGCAACACGTTACCTTGGCCACCCATTGACCCCGGAATTTGAGCCGATTGTGGCGATTGAAGTCCATTGCCGTAGTATTGGCCATATGGAGCTTGCTGTGCCGGCGAGTAATGTGGAGGTCCAGGTTGAAGTAGTGGTGGTTGATGTTGGGGATATTGACTTAACGCACCCGAGGTGGCAGTTTGAGGTGGCGGAGGTTGTCCAGTGGACATGTGCGGAGGATAATACATATCTTGAGGGCCGTGATTCATGTTCTGGTATGGCTCCTGGCTGTAAGAGTATGCTGGGTTTGATGGTGGAGTACTGTAAGATCCCTGGGGGAGAGAAACAGGTAGACCACTGCTAATAGGAGTAGGGGAAGGCGTTTTGGGCCCGTTAGACGAACTCGCGGTGGTGTAGGATGAATGAGAACTTCCGTTCAAGATTGAGGATGACCCAAGTGAGCTAAGTGAACCAACCCGGGGAGACGAAGTACCAGAGGAATATGCCTGTTGCGGCGGTGGCAAAGGCAAAGCGGGCAACCTTTCATTCACATACAGTGGTCGCTGCGCGGCGTGATGGTTGTAATATGGTACTTCGGTAGGCCCCCGGGTTTGCACTTGCGATATCGACGGAAGATCCAGATTTTCGGTTGGAATGATCAAGTCCTGAGAGGACAATGATCTGGCAGACTCAGTAAAGGGTCTTCCGGGACGAAAGATTCGAATTTTACGTTAGACAACAAGAGTTAACTTGTGGTCTAATCGCGTATATGGGTAAAATGGCTTCAGGATATGGCAAACTTTTCGGGAAGAAAGTCAAAAAAGATGCTGAAACCAAGAAGGAACAATGATGCTTGGGTATAAAATGGCAGAGACTATCGTCGATATGAAGAATCAAAACAGTCACAGCTTTTACAACGAGCGCAAAAGTAATAGATCGTTTAATTGTCGTGAAATAAGATGCATATGCCAAAGATGCAGAAGCAGAACGATCTTGTAAAACCACAAAAAAAAGACTCGAAAAAAAAGCAGACGTTTGGCTCGTAGAAGTCGTTACAAAAAGGACTTGGAAGCGTTGTTAATCTCCAACTGAGGTGCGATTGAAGCTCCACGACAGGATCGTTGGCAAGTTACGCGAACCTGCAGGTATGTATGCTTGTGCTTGTCGCTTCTTTGGAAGGAATTTTGATCCGTGCTTCGATTTCGAGGATTGCGAACTTTGGGAAAATCGTGAAGCTCGTGAAATATTCGTTGAAACTGATAGGGAAGAACAAAGTGCGGTGGAGTTTTCCTTTGGAGAAGGGCGTGTGTATGTGTACTTGTGGATAAGTAATGTGAGTCGGTCAAAAGAATTGAGGATATCTGCCACCCTCTAATGCAGGTACACTGGTCAGCGCTGCAGCAATTGCAATGAGAAAGGATTGCGCAAATCTATACGATAGTGGTTGGGTGAGGGGGGAAAGATGGAGGGGGGGGGCAAAGGAAAGCGGGAGTAGAACAATGCAATGATGTACATACCTTTTGTTTGATTTCTTTTTTACTTTCCCTGCACCTTGTTGAGGTTTAAGAATTGGGGGAGGTCGGGAAAGGGAGGATAAGTGAGTGGATTGGAGAGTAAAAAAAAAGGCGCGGAGGGAGAGAATGAGAAGAATAGAAACGAGGGAGGAGGTTGGGCGGTGATGTGTGTGTATGTGTGTGTGTGTGTGTGGTGGTGGAGGTGGGTTTGTGGAAAGTTTAAGGGTATTGGTCGAACAGGATAAGTTTTAACGAGAGTTGTATGTATAGTTATGGGTTGGTAAGAGTAGCCGTAGCCGTAAAAAAAAAAATAGATTGAATGGATGGGGTAAGGTGTGTCAAGGTGGTCAAGGTATGTATGGGTTGGAGTGTTTTGAGGTAGTAAGGTAGTAAGGGTAGTAAGGTAGTAATTGAAGTGGGTGAGTGGAGTTGAGTTGAGTTGAGTTGAGAGTAGAGTAAATAGAGTGAAATAAAATAATGAAATAATAATAAATTATTAGATCAATATATCAAAAAGAGTAGTAGTTATGTTATTCTAGTTGGTTGTTATCATTGATCAATGAAGAGGGGAGGATTAGATAGATAAACTCTTTTAATGCTGATAGGTAGTAGAGTAGAGTAGAGTAGAGTAGAGTAGAGTAGACAGGACAAGAAGACAAGAACATGAGACATTCAAATAGGACAATGATCTTCTTGTTCTTCTTGTTCCTCTTCTTCTTATTCTTGTTCTTTCTTCCCTTCTTTGCCTTGTTCTTGACTTTGTCTGTTCTGGCTGGTCCTTGTAGTCATAATAATAGTGTGGTGTGTAGTGGGTGTGTAGTACGGGTAAGGAAGAGTGGAAGCGTCCGGGTGGAATCGTATGAAGGGGTTATGAAGAAAAAGAGGCGTTAAAAGTAGGTAAGATAATTAAATGTTTCTCTTCTCTTGATTGTTGTCGAGTGAAGGGCGGAAGCTTCTTCTTCTGGTCTTGAGTTTCCCTTTCTCGGTTTTCACCCTCCCTCTCTTCCTTCTTATTGTTTGGTTATTTGATGTTCTTCTATTGCTCTCCCTCTTCTTCTTCTTCTCCCTCGATGTTTTTGCTACTCTTTGCTGTCCTTTAATTTTTTTGGGTTAGGTGTTTCTAAAGTGGATGCTTTAAGCCATAGCTTTATTAATCCCTGAATCTAGCTAAAATAGACCTAGCTAGATAAGCTTAACTAGACTCCAAAGTGAATTTTAGACAATTATACCGGATAGTAAATTCCTTTAATAATTTGAATTTGAATTTGATATTTATTTATTAAATTCTTATTCTTACGCTATTTCATTATTAATTCTTTATTTATTAATTAATAAGTATTTCTTCTCTTTTTCAGATTAGACTTTACTTTACTTTATTCAAACTTTCGATATTATTACTATATAAAACTTCTACTTTTAGATTAACTACTATCTAGATATTGTTTTTCTTTCTTTTCTCTCAGGCTATCAAATACTATATCCTAGTTCATTATCTTAACTCACCAGCCTTCCTTATCCGTAAACACATCAAAACCTTTTTTCATTTTCTGCCATGATGTTCCCATACTAGCGCATTCTCTAGGACCCAGGACCCCTTCCTTAGTTAGGTAGTAGTTTCACGGATAATAGAATGTATGGCTCGTTCCTTGAGACCCCTTCCTTTTTTAAACCCGGCACTAGAACTAGGGTGGTTGGACAACAACATTGTTGTGAGTGGATTGGTCCGACCGGATGAGAAGAAAAAAAACCTGGTGAGAAAAAAGAGTAATAAGTGACAAATGAATTAATGAATTATAATAGATACATACTGTACCTATCTAGATAAAGGTGTGTGAATATAAAGATTCATTGTACGGTTTTATTTATACTATACTATACTATACCGTACTGTACTGTATATGATACAAACCGGTACTGTATGTACATTGATCGTGATACTTGTTGTGCTTTGTGTGTTGTATATTCTTCTATTCTGCTGAGCTGGTTGGTAGATATTCTTTGTTGTATCGTATCGTGGGGTATCTCGAAATGTGAATGTGATGCCTCTTTTTCACTCTTAATCCCTACTCTACCCTACCTATCTATCTACCTATCTCCTCCTCCTCTCAATTTACCTTTACCTATCGAGGACTAGACTTACTTACACTTATCAATCCATTGAAGAAACCAATAAAAATGATTAAAAAAATAATAGTGGGAAGGAAAATGCCAGGTGGCAGTATGGGGCCAGCCAATCCATCAAGATTCAAAAAGTGGCAGAGTCGCAAAATTGGCCGTGACCATGAATATGACTATGACTATAAACAATGGCCGCAAATTCTGGCCGCGCGAAATGGATACGGAAGAATCCCAAGGGTAGGTAAATAGATACAAGGATTTCGAGGACTGGTTCTTAATGAAAGATAGAGATTATCATGGATGGGATGGGTCACTAACATGACGGCCAAGTTGAAAAGATTTAATTGGATGATATTGATAGCAGCTGTTCCGGTCTCGTCGTCTCGAAGATTATCAATGGTTACCGGCAACTGTAGAATGAATGAATGAATGAATGAATATGAGGGAACACAAACAAGAACAAGAACAAGAATAAGAATGAGAGTTATTTTTACTTTCTCTTCCGATTGTATATTTATTGGTGTTACTACTTCTATACTGTATCTACACCAATGACTTTGAAAGAATGAAGGAAGGGAGGGGGGATTCACCCATTCAGTAATTAATTCCCATTGAACTGGTCGGGATTCGGATCCGAAAGGAATCACATCAGACTTTGCTGTTGGATATTGGATATCGATGATTCAATGTTGATATACCGATATATGAGTACAAGCAAGTTAATGAATTACCTAATATTCAATGAGATCTTCTACCGGTAGTTGATTGATCTCTATGCCATGGACAAGTGGACTTCATGAACGTAAGCTTAAATTTATTAGTAATCTTAAAGACGGAACGGATATAATACTGATGATGATCCGATGCGTATATTTACCAATATGGTATATTTTGACTAATTATAACTTTATACAATATAATTGAATCAATATATAGAATATGAGATGATCTTGCTTAACCTAACAAATGAACCAAACCAAACCATTACCAAGAACTCATATACTTTCTTTAGCAATCCATCAATCATATATACCTATCCAAGCATTCTTCTTTGCATCTATTTATCCAAACTATACCTTTCTTTCTTTCTTTACCTTTGCCTTGCCTTACCGATCAAGCCTGCATCAACATCACATACATCGCATCACATTACTTTCACTACAGTAATATTATACTGCTGCTGCAACGTTTTCCCTCCTGGCGGCGGCTGCGGTGGCGTAGTGCATTGTATATATCTATCTATTCATCTATCTATCCATCCATCCTATAAATTAATTGCTCCCTTCCCTCTCCAAACAACCACTCAATACACCATTCAATACATCACACCATCACATACCAATACTTCTAGCTACACAAAAAAAAGTTATCTTTGGGATAATACTGTATACACACCTAGATTATTTCACATAGTACTATACTATAGATATTTCAATATCAGGGAATGAGGCGAATGCACTCCAGACTTTTACCATACCATACTATAGTACTATATTGTACTATAACTCATGCCCATGCCCATGTTCTTCTGTACCGATTCAATCAAATCAAATGATTTGCGGGAAGGAAAGTATATGTATGCACAATGCATGTATGTACCTACCTACAGTAGTTTTATCGGAAATTTTATGTTCATGCTCATCATACTTATATTTATGCATTTATGCTCAACATAACATGCTTATCCCGTTTCCAAATGCATGCTTGAATCCATCCATCTACTCGTATCTATCCTCACTCATACCTCCCCTCCCCTCCCCTCCCCTATTCAAATTATCAAATTATCCGATCTGTGTGGCGAGCGAGCGGACAGGCATGGCATTCATTCATTCATTCATTCATTGAATTTCATTGGATTTCATTCAGGGCTTGATCGCGGTATGGGTTCTTCGCTTACCTACCTGTCTGTTCTACCTGCCTGTCTATCTACTGTATCTACCTATCTGCAAGACGGGATCTCCTGCTTGTGCATACAGAGGGAGTACTGTACATATCATATCATATCATATCGGTTTCTCTTTGATCCCGCCTATACATACCAAACTATTATATATACCATACATACCCATCCCCAACAATACCCATCCTATCTACAGACTACAGTACATACCCATCCCCAACAATACCATCCTATCCTATCCAATTTACAGTACATAAAGTACCCTACCCTACCCTGCTCTGCCCATAAAAGCAATAATAAGTAGAAGCAGCTTTAAGCTTTAAGCTTTAAGCTTGAGCTTGAGCTTGGTTGGATCTAATGAATACTCCGTACAAGTACAGTAGTAACAGGCACATCATCGAGGACCTAGGACCGCGCAGTGCGCACAGATGGA